GCTTCGTCATGGAGAGCACCACCTTCGCTGCCACCTCTGCGAAGCTCCTACGTTTTGCCTATCAGCTGCATGGCTCCAGCTCCGTGTCCTTGGAGGTGGAGCACAGGACGTCGTCTGGCTGGTCGAGCCTGTTCTTGAGAACGGGTGCAACGACTCCTTCGTGGCAAGCTGCTTCGATGGAGGTCCCAGATGGCACGGTCGCCCTTCGACTGGTGGCGCGCCTTTCCTCGGAGGTAGACGTGGTGAAGGTCGACTCTTTGGCGGCCTCCCAGGCGTGGGGTGCAAGGTTTCGGATGTTTCGGATTTGGGATCAATTGGGCTCCCTTGGGTCAGTTGGAATTCCTACTTTGGGCTGAGCTCAGGCCTGGACGCTGAACTTGCGCCGAGACAGCACGCGATGCGTCGTGGATGGGGACTGCATCACCAGCCCCAACTTCCCAGAGCACTATTATGGAGCTGAGGACTGTGACTTCTCTGCCGCGCCCTTTGATCCGCGCCACCCGCTCTTCATCAACGTGGTTTCCTTCTCCACCACGGATGACACCCGAGCCTTCAAAGTGCAGCATGACCTCATCGTCAACGGCGTCGCGTACCGTGGCACTAGTGGGCCTCAGGGTATCGTGCCACGAGGGAACATCAAGTGGGACGCAGGGTACTCGGAGGCTCAGTCTGAATATAATTGGGCTGCTACAGTGAACCCTTAAGATATTCCTCCTTATAAGTCCTTAATAGGGATTATAATGAGCGACATTATAATCCCTACTAAGGACTCTTAGTATAAGGGGGAACATCCCAAGTGAACCCCCTTGCTTCATTTTCTGGGGTAAATAGTTGGAGAATCGAGCTGTCGCCCGCAATCGCCTACGAATCTTCAACCGGTTCCCTGGAACCCCGTGCCGCTTACGCCGCGTTTTGCCTTTTGTCCATGTTGTGCGATCTAGGGCTTCAAGCACTGTTTGGGGCGGTGTAGGGTCAACGGCTCGATTGTCCCTGGTGCAATTTGCATATTGACCATTGGGTGGCGCCTGAACCCTAAGCCCTAAACCCCAAACCCCAAACCCCAAGCCTAAATCCTGAACCCTAAACCCTAAACCCCAAACCCCAAACCCCAGACCAGAAACCCCAAGCCCCAAACCCGAAACCCCACTTGGCAGATGCCCAGGACGAAGAGTGGAGCGACGGCTGGAAGATCTGCCTTGTGCCGGGCGAGGCTTTTTAGGGTTTAGGGTTTGGGGTTAAGGGTTTAGGGTTTAGGGTTTAGGGCGAGGCCCGACCCCGTGTGCTCCAAGCCCCTTGAAGGCGCTGAAGAGCTGTGCCTTCGTTTTCTTCTTTTGTTTTTGTTTGCGGGGGGGGGGGGGGGTTTAGGGTTTAGGGTTTAGGGTTTAGGCTTTGGGGTTTTGGGGTTTTGGGGTTTGGGGTTTGGGGCTTTCTGAGTGTAGGTGACCTGGGACATGGTGAGCTGCAGCTTTGAGGGGGAGATAGCAAGGGAGGACAAGTGCCTCTGGTTCGACGCGGGCAATGTCACGTGGAAGTCGCGGACAGCAGAGGCCGCACCTCAAACCCTAAACCCTCAACTTTAAACCCCAATTTAGGGTTTAGGGTTTAGGGTTTAGGGTTCTAAACCCTAAGCTTTCAACCCTAAACCCTGAACCTTAAAACCTAAACCCGAAAACCTACACCCTAAACCATTGTGACTTCCGCCCTGAGTTGTTGTGTCTTGCATAGCACCGAGTCCGTGTGAGCCACACCGTAGGACCCCGACTTTGGTCTCCTTTTAGTCTTACTTCGCCCGTGCAAGTGAACCAAAAGGGTTTAGGGTTTAGGGTTCAGGGTTTAGGGTCAAAAGATAGGAAGATTCAGGTGTGTTGGATGTAGCACGTCTCAAAGTACTGGAACAAGAGTGAGAGAGATGAATGGCTTCTAAGTCAAGATGGTAAGGACAGACCAAGACATGAGAGTTAGGGTCTTAAGGTGTGATGGGTGAACAACTTGGAGGTTCATAGGACTTAATAACCCCTTATGCCTGGGCTTGTACCCCTACTTATAATAGGGCTAACCCCCATAAGGCCCTTTAGGGGTATTACAAGTGGGGTTATAAGTACAGTTATAATTGGTTAGTAAGTACCATGAACGCGCACGTGAACGAAACGAGTGAATGATTGAGTTTATGAGAGGTGGAGATGTGAATGTTATTTCTGCGCTCATATTATATTCAGGGAGCGCATGCAATTCCACTAACAAATCTACTGTAAATACCGGGCAAAATAGAAGTCTTTTAACGGCCCAGTTCACTTGTGCTTGTGTGTCCATAGACGTCTTGAGCTCAAGGTTTATGCCGAAAATCGGCTTCGTAGTGGACCGCGCAAACCCAGTCTCAAAACCCAAAACCCAAAACCCTAAACCCTAAACCCTAAACCCTAAACCCTAAACCCTCAACCCTAAACCCTAAACCCTAACCCTCAACCCTACCCTACAGGCCACGGAGGAGGCCTCGGATGGAAGCTGGTGGCTGGAGGCCTCCAATGCAACCGGGAGGTTCATCCTCGAGAGCCCTCCCTTCGTTTCCGTGGGCAGGGACAAGGTGGGTGGGGGTGTACGAACATAAGGGCCTTGCGAGTTTCGGGTTTCGGGTTGAGGGTTTCGGGTTTAGGATTTAGGGTTGGGATGTTCTTCCTTATACTCACGGTCCTGATTAGGGATTGTAGTACCCCCTGATTCTAATTCCGATTAAGGACGCTTAGTCTAAGGGGGGCAACATCCCAACAAGGGGCTTCTAGTACCCCAACTAGTAGGATGTCGGAAACCCCCAGGTCCTCTTGTTTGCCTACAAGCTCAGTGGCTCCAGCTCCGTGTCCGTGGAGGTGGAGCACGAGACGGTGACCGGCTGGTCGAGCTTATTGCTGGAGACGGGGCCCACACTTGGAGGTTCATGGTACTTATTAACCAATAACAACTGTACTTAACTTGTACTTATAACCAGATGAGGGCACTTAAGGGGCTTATAAGTTGCTTATAAGTACAGCTATAGCTGGTTCGTAAGTACCATGAACCTCCATGCAGGCTCGTCCTGGAAGCATGCCATCGTCAAAATCCCCGAGGGCACGGTGGCCTTGAGGCTGCTCGCGAGCCTTGAGACGGAAGAGGATGTGGTGAAGCTGGATTCGGTTTGGGCGTCGAGCTCGGTTCCCAATGTGGAGAACATCACCTGCGCCTTTGAGACCGACCTTTGTGGCTGGTCCACTGCCGGGGTGCAGATGAAGGGCTCCCGGGATGCCCCGGACTGGCGGGTGCACCGCAGCAGCGACGCCTTCCAGGGCGACGGGTACCTGCGTTTCGACGATGAATCGGACACAGCTGAGCGATACGAGGCGATCCCCAAATAGTAGGATTCCCTTACAAAAGGACCCCAAAAAGGTACCCCGAATGTCGTAAAGCCCCCATCTGCTTTTGCCTAAGCGGTTGGGGGGCCCAATGGTGGCGGGCTTCGCAGGAGACTGTTCTGAGTCCGGCTTTCCCTTCCGCCGCCGATGAGCTGTACATGGAGTTTGCCTATCACATGGAGGTGTCGATTAACAACTACCTCAAGCTTCAGTATCTCCAGCAAGGCCGCTGGTGGACCCGCTGGTCACGCTCAGGCTCCCAGGGCAACACGTGGCTGCAAGCCAAGGTGGGGTGGTGTTCGAAAACAAGGGAACCCCAGAACAGACCCCCCAAATAGTAGGTACCCCCTACGAAACCCCCAAATAGTAGGATTCCCTCATAACAAGGACCCCCAGTTAGGTACCCCCAAAATAGTAGGATTCTGCAGATTCCCGTATAACAAGGAGCCCAATAAGGTACCCCCTACGAAACCCCGTAGGATTCCCTTATATCAAGGACCCCCAGTGAGGTACCCCCAAAATAGTAGGATTCCCTTATAACAAGGACCCCAATAAGGTACCCCCTACGAAACCCCCAAATAGTAGGATTCCCTTATAACAAGGACCCCCAGTTAGGTACCCCCAAATAGTAGGATTCCCTTATAACCAGGACCCCAGTAAGGTACCCCCCTACTTTCAAGAAGCCCCCGAGGTGACGCTCCCCGCAGGCACGGAGATGTTGCGCTTCGTCGCGAAGGGCAGCGCGGTGATGAGGCTGGACTCCCTGGTCGTCTGGAAGCCTGCGGCTTCAGGCCTGGGGGGCTTAAGGGGGGCCTGAAAGGGGGGCTTAAGGGGGGGGCTTAAGGGGGGGGCTTAAGGCCTGAAAGCTTTAGACGAACCACCAAAACCCAGAGGAAACACAGCAAAGACATGAACGACGCGAAGCAAGAACGACTGAACACAACACATGCAGAAGTAGCAAGAAGATGCAGAGAGATGGAAAAGGGGTAGCAAAGCCACTCTGATGGGGCTCTTCATGCTTCCCAGCTGCCATGATGCTGTAGTTTGAAATGTTGTTTCCTACCGGACAAGTGGGGGGTGTTTGATTTTAAGGACAAAGCGGTGACGCGACTCTTAGGAAGGCAGTGCGGCATTGAGGACCACAGGCAGACAGCGGGGAGTACGAGATTCTGGAAGCAGGGAAGGGAGGCTCAGCGGGCAACTGTGCCAGTGGCCAGACGCAGCAGGCCAAGGACGCCACAACATTCCAGTACAATTGCCCGCCTGGACCAGAGCCTCCTTGAGCTTGTAGGGTTTAGGGTTTAGGGTTTAGGGTTTAGGGTTTAGGATTTCGGGTTTAGGGTTTAGGGTTTAGGGTTTCTGGTACAGTTGCCAGCCTGAGTGGTACAGTGGCCCAGTTGAGCCTCAATAGGCAGGGCAGAAAAGCTCATGACAAGGCGGTCAACTGTGCCGAAACGTTGCCAAAATTAGCAAGCCAGATACGATGCTGGAATGTAAATCGGCCCTTGCAAGTGGTTTTAGGGACAGGGTGGGGAGGTTCGCAGTGTTTTTTTTTAGAGGGGGCTGACTCAGGCTACTGCCGGTCCAGTAAGTGGCCAAAACCGGGCATCACGTGCAGGCATGGATCTCCTGTCCATCGACACGGGCCACAACCACAACTGCGCCTTGATCATGGCTGAAGGGCGTGTCAAGTGCTGGGGCGATGGCAGCCAGGGGCGCCTTGGTTACGAGAGCACCGCCCGAGTGGGTGGAGAAAGCAACACCATGGGTGAGGCCTTGCCGTTCGTGGACTTGGGTGAGAACGCCTCGCGGGTAATCCAGGTGTCCTTGGGCAGACGCCACACCTGTGCAGTGCTGGAAGATGGAGGACTACGCTGCTGGGGTGGGAACAGCGATGCTCACCTGGGTTTGGGCTTGCCTCGGTCGGTAGACGTTGGCGATGAACCTGGTGAGATGGGTGCATTCCTCCCCGCTGTTAACCTGGGCGCGGGAGTTCTGGTCCAGCACGTCGTCGCCAGCGCATACCACAATTGCGCGGTGCTTCAGGGCGGGAAGGTGAAGTGCTGGGGGTGGGCACAAGTCCTCGGCTCCTTAGCTGCTCTGGAGAAGCACGTGCGATGGCTTAGAGTTGTTTCTCAAAGCCCGGTTTTGGTACTCCCGGACAAGCGTGAATTTTCGGAAAGAAGTAGATTTTAAATAGACAGTGCTGATTGAATTTGTCGAGCCAGGCTTGGAGCTTGCGTATGCCCTGCAGTATGATGCGTGGCCGGGGACCTAGGCCATGGAAGAAGCGAAAGCAATTCAAGAGTCGGGGCACGTTGGAGGGAGAAATGTTTCGGATGTGTCGGAAGATGCGGCAGCTTGGGGGATCCTGAGCATCCCGAGCAGCTTGGGGGATCCTGAGCACTTGCGTACTCAGGTGGGATTACTATGTCGGTGACGACCCAGAGGATATGGGGGACGAGCTTGACTTCGTCAACCTCGGTCCAAATTTCGACGTGGTCCAGCTCGCTGCAGGATATGAACACACGTGTGCACTGTCGTCCGAAGGCTCTGTGAAGTGCTGGGGTGGTGGCCCAGCTATCGGACAGGGGATTCTCTTTGAGGACTGGGGCACTACCAATTCTGCCTACTACATCGGCGACGAATGGGAGGAGATGCTTAACCTTCTACCCCTTGACCTAGGCATGAAGGTTCTGCAAATCTCCGCGGGCCGTTATCACACCTGCGCAGCCGCCCGCCCGCAGCCGGGGTTCAGATTTATTCATCGCTAGCAACAATTACAAGCAACGCACATTGTCAAAAGGAAGACGAACCCCTTTTCGTGGCTGTTTCTTCTCAACCCTCAACCTCCCTAAACCCTAAACCCTAAACCCTAAACCCCAAACCCTAAACCCCAAACCCCAAACCCACACCCTAAACCCTCAACCCTAAACCCTAAACCCTAAGCCTCACTGCAGGTGCTCGCCGATCGCTCTGTCAAATGCTGGGGGGAGAATGCCGCTTGGCACAGTGCAACCGAAAGCACAAGGGAGATGACTTCGATAGCATCCCCGCCCTTGAGGGTTTACGGCTTACGGTTTTACAGTTCAGAGTTTAGGGTTTAGGGTTTAGGGTTTAGGGTTTAGGGTTTAGGGTTTAGGGTGTGGGAGCCATTTTGCCGTTTGCAGGTAATTGCGGTTACTTAGGGAGAATTTTCCGAGGGGCACTCTCTTCAAGGATGCTCGGCGGTTCTCTCTGCGGGATTCTTTGAGGTTGACTTCTCTGCGGCCTTGTCTGCGGTAAGCACTCCGGAGACCGGGCGGGCCACCGCCCTAAACCCCAAACCCCAAACCCCAAACCCTAAGCCCTAAACCCTAAACCCTAAACCCCAAACCCTAAACCCTAAACCCTAAGAGGAGGCGAGGCGGTGAGGGGCCATGTTTGACGTACGACCTGACAACCCCACACCGAGGGTGGGGAGAAATGATCCCCAAGCCCGAAGCTCAGAAGCCAAAGCCCCCGTTAGTATAGGGGCCTTCATAGGGTTTAGGGTTTAGGGTTTAGGGTTTAGGGTTTAGGGTTTAGGGTTTAGGGTTTAGGGTTTAGGGTTTAGTGTTTAGGGTCTGGGGCTAGGGTTATAGGGCCCTTAATAGAAAGAATAGGGTGCCAGGGGTCATTGTAGTCTACTTATAAAGGGACCAAGTGGGAATACTATTAGTAATCATGCCGACCAGTACCCCCTCAATTAAGGAACCTTCCCGATATACGGAACCCTCTGATAAACAGGAAACCCTAAACCCTAAACCCTAAACCCTAAACCCTAAACCCTAAACCCTAAACCCTAAACCCTAAACCCTAAACCCTAAACCCTAAACCCTAAACCCTAAACCCTAAACGCTAAACAACCCTCAACTCAAGCCAGTCTGCCACATCACATCAATGAAGCAATATCGGGGGTCTGAATAATTAAGAATACTTGGAGTTTAGGGTTTAGGGTTTAGGGTTTAGGGTTTAGGGACCAATGATAACTGTACTTACAACCCTACTTATAATCCCCCTAAAGGGCCTTATAGGGGTTATCAAGTAATCCCTTCTGGTCCCTTCAGAGCTATGCCACAATAACCCAAAAACACCCTATTCTAACTATTAAGGCCCCTATCTCAGAGACTCCAATACCCCCTAATTCAGGAATACTCCTTAAACCATATAAGGGAACCTTCTTATATTTTCAAAATATTCCTTAAGTAAGGGGAATTGGAGTCCCTGGAATATTAGAGCCCGGAAGATTGAAGCTTCCAAGGACGACGGGCAGCTGGGCCATGGGAGTGTCGCACATGCGCCATTGGCGGACGCCTTGGCTCCTTTTACAAGGCTTTGGGGCTCAGGGTCGTTTTTTTTCCTCGAGTTCCTGTTCCTGGGTAGGGTTTAGGGTTCAGGGTTTAAGGTTTAGGGTTTAAGGTTTAGGGTTTAGGGATAGGGCTCCGAAGATCCCATCAAAGCTTGGAAAAGCCTTCCGGAGAGATGTGGTGCTCCCCTTCTAAGCCTAAGCCCTATCAGGAACGACTCTGCTTTTCTCTTGTGGCCCAAAAAGTTCAACGGCAGAGCCCCCAATACAATTAATATTTTCTAAATACATTCATTTGTCTATATATATATATATGTATGTATGTATGTATGTATGTATGTATATGCATATACTTATATACATACATATATATATATATATATGTATGCACATCTATACATATATATATATACATATATATATATATGTGGTCTTATATATATATATATATATATATATACGTGGTCTGGGGCCCCGGGGCCCTGGGGCCCAGGGGCCCTAACTCCCGACCCCTCACATGGTATCCATGCCCACGCGCGCCTCCCCTCTTCACCTTTCTCTTCAACCCATGTTTTTAGTTAGATTTTCAATACCCGCGACCCGCCCTTCCCTCCTCCCTGTGGTGTTTGTGACCCACGTGCCCCTCGCCCCTTGACCTTCCTCTTCAGCCCTTTTTCGGGTTAGATTTAAACCCTAAACCCTAAACCCTAAACGTTTGATTTCAACCACCGTGCGCTCCCTTCAATGTGATACTGTTAGCTGGTTGCCTGTCGCTTCAGGGCACGTCACGTTCCGCACCGCGGGGTGCGTGGAAGCCCTGCACCATATATATATATATAGATATGTATGTATATATATGCACACATAAATATGTCCGATCGAAATCCCTAAACCCTAAACCCTAAACCCTAAACCCTAAACCCTAAACCCTAAGCCCTAAGCCCTAAGCCCTAAACCCTAAACCCTAACCCCTAAACCCCTAAACCCTAAAACCCTAAACCCCAAACCCTAAACCCCTAAACCCCTAAACCCCTAAACCCCTAAACCCCTAAACCCCAAACCCCAAACCCTAAACCCCTAAAGCCCTAAACCCCTAAACCCTAAACCCCAAAGGGCTCTCAGCGTCTTCCAAGCCGAGGATGCCAACCTGCCTCCGACGGACTTGGGCGAAGGCATGTTCGCCCTGCGGGTGGAAGCCGGGTACTACCACACCTGCGCCATCCTCCAGGATGAGCCCCTAAACCCTAAACCCTAAACCCTAAACCCTAAACCCTAAACCCTAAACCCTAAACCCTAAACCCTAAACCCTAAACCCTAAACCCTAAACCCTGAACCCTGAACCCTGAACCCTGAACCCTGAACCCTGAACCCTGAACCCTAAACCCTAAACCCTAAACTCTAAACCCTAAACCCTAAACCCTGCAGGATGAGTCGCTGAAGTGCTGGGGTCGGGGATCTTCCGGGCAGCGGGCGCCCCAGAGGGTGCCGGGCACCCCTTGTTTTTGTTTAGGGTTTAGGGTTTAGGGTTTAGGGTTTAGGGTTTAGGGTTTAGGGTTTAGGGTTTAGGGTTTAGGGTTTAGGGTTTAGGGTTCAGGGTTCAGGGTTCAGGGTTCAGGGTTTGGGGTTTAGGTTTTTTTTTGTTTTCTCTCGCTCCTTTGTTTGGCCCTTCCTCTCCTTTTGAGATGGCTCAGGCTCAGACGCCAGGTGTTGAGGGATTTAGGCTTCCTCCCGCTTTGACATTGAGGCTCGGCCAGTCCAGCACTGAGAACTTGGGTGACGAGCCTGGAGAGATGGGTGACCAGCTACGCCCAGTTGAGTTGCAAAAGCTGGCTGTGCGGCAGGTGCAGATCGGTAACGCCCACACCTGCGCGGTGCTCGAGGATGACAGCACACGTTGCTGGGGAGGGAACTCCAATGCACAGCTGGGTTTGGGTGACACCTTCAACGTGGGCGATGAGCAGGGCGAGATGGGTGCAGCCCTGAGGGCCACGGAGCTCTACCAGCCCAAGCCGGGCGCCGGCATGGAGGAGGTGCGCCTGACCCAGGAAGCCCAGGAAGCTGGCCTTCGTGTCCGACTTCTGAGTGATGCGCCTGGGGCTTTGGGGGTACAGCAGGGCCTCCTGCAGCTTCGGCACAATGGCTCCTTCGGCTTCGTCTGCGACGACCTCTTCAGCGACGCCACCGCACAGGTGCCCAGGGGGAGAGAGGCAGAGAGTTTAGGGTTTAGGGTTTAGGGTTTAGGGTCTGTTAGGGCTTTGAAGGTTTGGGGTTTTCAGATTTTGGGGGGAAGATGCGAGGGGTTCGGCGCCATGGAGCTCTAAACCCTAGCAGCCCCCGACTTTGAGGTTCCTGGGTGGATGGAAGAAGAGCCGCATGGAAACCATACTTACGACCATACTCGGGGTGCTTATAACCCTCTTTAGGGCACTTTAAACCCTAAGCCCTAAACCCTAAACCCTAAACCCTAAACCCTAAACCCTAAACCCTAAACTCTACCCCTTGGTCTACTAGTAAGTTGGGTGATGGGCATCATCATCGGGTTTATAAGTGATACTAAGTAGACTTACTATGTCAAAAGGGCTTCCCAGCAGTAACAGCACGGTTCTCAAAACTGGTCTTTTTGAATCCGGCAGCAAGGCGCCGAAACTTGGGTTCGAGAATTCTGCCACCAACTCGGGACTATCTCGCGGGAATCAAAAAGAAGGGTTTCTTTAGGCTGCAGACCGCACTGCAACCACTTTTAAAACCCTAAACCCCCTCAACCCTAAACCCTAAACCCTAAACCCTAAACCCTAAACCCTAAACCCTAAACCCTAAACCCTAAACCCTAAACCCTAAACCCTAAACCCTAAACCCTAAGCCCTAAACCCTCAACCCTCAACCCCAAACCCCAGAGGTGGCCTGCCGTGACCTGGGCCTGGCGGGTGGCCGGGCCATCCTTCGTGACGCCGCGGGAGAGGCCGGGATCTGTGGCCCTTGGGGGGGGGGGGGTTTAGGGTTTAGGGTTTAGGGTTTAGGGTTTAGGGTTTAGGGTTTAGGGTCGAGGGTTCAGATCGCTCCTTTGGCACGCGAAAAGGGGTCTAGAGGGTTAGGGGTCTAAGGGTTTAGGGTCCGGGGTTTGGGGGTTTTGGGGTTTAGGGTTTAGTGTTTAGGGTGTAGCTTTGGTCAGCTGAACCCAATCACAACAGCCAGCCCAAACCAAGCCAGAGCCATTGCAAACTCACACGCGAAACACGCTTTGGGGACACTTCGGCTACTTGAGCTACTTTGAACACTTACACACTTGGAGCGCTTGGAACACTGAGGACCCCTGGGTCATATGGAATCCCAAGTGTTAGTAACTTTTCGCAAGCTTGCAAGGAACTTGGAACATGTGAAGATGTGGCACATGCTTGGTGCTCTTTCGCTTTTGGTTCACTTGGGGACACTTGGGATTGGAATCCCTTGGGTCACCTGGGACACTCTGACAAAAGGGTCCACTCGCCTGTGACGTTATTTTTTTTTTCTGTCTGTCTCGCTTGTGACTTTTCTTCGTGTCCCGCGCGTGACTTTTTAAAAAGCCGTATGTGGCTGCATTTTCGCTTGGGACTTTTTTGCGCACAGATGTACAAACACTGTGAATGACAGCGTTTTGCTAGCACGTTCATCATTATTGTTGTCGTTGTTGCTCTGTCTTTTTTCCTTCATTCCCCACCCTCGGTGTGAGATTGTTAGAATGTAAACTCAACTCTTCTCCTCGGCCGGTCTACTTCTCCTCACCCGGTCTACTCCTCGCCCAACCCGAGTGCCTGAAGTGCCCAACCCCCAAAGTGTTCCTGGTGTCCCTGGAGTGCCCAATCCCAGAGTCTCCCTGGAGTGCCCAACCCCAGAATCTCCGTCCCAGATTTTCCCTGGAGTGCCCAACCCCAGAGTCTCCCTGGAGTGCCCAACCCCGGATTCTCCCTGGAGTGCCCAACCCCAAGTCTCCCTGGAGTGCCCACCTGGAGTGCCTTTCTGGGCGCCAACTCCAATGTCCCTGGAATGCCAAACCATAGAGTGTCCCTTGGACACCACCCAGAGTGGGTGGGGATGTTCGAAGTACAATAATTGTTAGCTTCTTTCTTGGGGTCTTTCTGTTGCTGGCTCTCTTCTTGGTGAACGGAATGATTTTTTCAAATCATGTCGACCTGTTTGCGTCATTCCTGCAATCATTTCTGTCCTTCTTTCTGCGCATTGTTTCTTCATGTCGTTGTCTATTTGCGTTGTGATGTCCTTATTTGTTGATTTTCTCTTTCTGTTTATGTCGTTCGTTCTCTCCGTGATTCTTTTCTTGTGTCTTGGGGAAGGGTGTAGCAACTTCTTTCTGTCTATGTCATTCGCTATTTCTCTCCGTAATTCTTTTCTTGTGTCTTGGTCCCACTCCCCACCGTCTCCTTTCCCACTGTTGTTGCTTCCCCCCACGCACCGCCCTTCCACGCATTGTTGTTGGGCAGCAAGTGGAACAACATCATGAGCCCCCCCTCCACCCACTTCGCATCACCCCGTTGTTGTCCCGTTCCAAACTCACTACAAACAAGACAGGATGCAGGTGAGAAGCTGTGACCCTTCTCGAGCGGGAGCTACGTTTGTTACAATTCATAGTTATAAGTGAGATGACAGAAAACAAGAAAAAGTCATATGTGACACAAATTTATAGTCACAACTGACAAAAAAAGACAGTCACAAGTGAGAACTCACATATAACCCACAATCCCGGCGAAACGGCGGCTTCAAATCGTAGTGCCCCAGATCCCAGCGAACCAGGCAATCCAATCGTACGGCAGGAAATCTTTGCGAAAAGAGATGGCGCAGAATGATATAGAATCCTTCTGGAGCATCGTTGCTTTTGTAGACCATTCTGTATCTTTGCTTTCTGCGGAGGTCTGTCTATGAAGAGAATGGGTCTGCAGTGCCTAGGGAAGACGACAGGAGCTTGGTGGCGAGATCCTGGCCGACAACCTCGTGTGCCAGGGCACGGAATCCAGCCTGTCGCAATGCAGCTTTCGAGGCAAGGGGAGGGGTTTGGCGTGTGGGGGCGGTTGATGATTAGGGAAAAAATGCCCCCCGACTCACATCTGAGCTGAAGCTGTCAGTCAAGCTCTCACGAAGAATGTAGAGTGTAGGCATGAGCATCGGCCCTAAACCCAAACCCAAACCCTAAACCGGCACGCTTCCAACTTGGATCCAAGCCTCCGGAGCGCCAATCGGGGATGCGAGAGGCTGGCACGTACACGACTGCTCGACTCGCGAGGCCGCAGGCCGGGGGATTCTTCAGATCTTTGGCAAAGGGGTCTGTGAAGATTGGTGTGAGCTCTCAATGGCATAAAGCGAGACCCCACACACTCATTGCAGTGGTGTGCTTCAGGCGTCCGCTGCGAGCTGGATGCATGGAGTGAGTTCACCTCTGCTGGCCCAGCGGGACGCCAAGACCACAGCCTGGTTTGGGACCCAGAGACCCAGTCAGCCTTGGTTTTCGGCGGCGCGGCGGCCAACACCTTCCAGTACTTTGCAGACTTGTGGAGGTACCACTGGCCGTCACGCGCGTGGACGGAGCTGGAGGGGAACGGCCCAACAGCTCGATCCGGGCACAGCGCCATCTGGGACCCCGCTGCCGGCAGCATGCTGGTCTTCGGTGGCACGCTTTTGAGCGTTGCCAGCAGCGAAGTTTGGTCCTATCAACTGGAGCAGCGCACCTGGCAGATGTGGGTAGTCTCCCAGGCGCCAAGACCGCGAGCTTACCACACGGCTGTCTGGGATCCGCTTTACCAGACCATGCTGGTTTTCGGAGGGGAGGACGGAGAGACCTTAGGGGACCTCCAGCGCTTCAGCGTCACTGCTGGGTCCTGGACAGCTCGTAGCTCTTCGGCGCCTTCGCCACGCAGCCGGCACACAGCTACCTGGGAACCTACCAGCCGTTCCATGCTGGTCTTCGGTGGCTGGGATGGCCAACACTACCTTTCGAGCCTGCAGCGCTACCATGCTTGGTCCGACAGCTGGGCTGAGGTCTCGGCCGTCGGCACGGTGCCCTCACCGCGCCTTGGGCATGTGGCTGTTTGGGACCCCGTCACGACCAGCCTCTTGGTTTTCGGCGGCATCCAGAACCTGTCTCAGCAGGACCCGGGCACGGCACTCACGCAGCTTGGTTACGACGACGGGCTCTACAATTTCAGTCTTCTCACAGATGCCTGGACAGAGATTCCGCGCCGAACCGACATCCCGGGCCCCCCGGGCCGTGCATATGCCAGCATGGCCTTGGATGCGGCGACCAACTCTCTGATGCTTTTCGGAGGCTTCGATGGCTCGTACCTACCGGAGCTGTGGAGATACGCCATGTCACCCAAGCCAGCGGCCCTCACCGAGAGGTGCCAGCTGGGAAAGCCCTGCATGCTGGACAGTGTGGCCAGTGCAGTGCCGCGTTTCGCCGTGAAGCGAACGTGCCGAGACTCGGAGGTCGTGGAATTTCGCGACAGCCAACCCAGCCAACCCAGCCAACCCTTGCTGGTGGAACCGGGCAGCTATCAAACCTGCACTTGCCAGGACGAAGGCGGCTCCAACTGCAGCCAGCCATCGGAATTCGGGGTTTCTCTTGGGCACCTGGTTGCTGAAGGGCCCTACGCCAACCAGTCCGCCAGCTGCTACATAGGCCAGGCTTGCGCAGTTCCCCTCTGGGCGGGCGTCGGCATCTCCACGAGCGACAGCATGATACTCCAAAGAACATGCAGTGCCTCGGTAGGCCCTTGGGGAACAGGCTTAACTTTCCCTTATATTGGGTTTCAGAGGCTCATGTTCAGGACTATTTTTCAGAGGGTTACGGGCCATCCTAGGTACTTCGGGGGCGTCCTTCTACAGCGGCGCGCTCGTGACCATTGGCTTCAACCAATCTGCCAATGCCCTGTTCCTGGATGTGGGCGACATCGACACTACGGGTGCTCCTGAGGCCTCCCCAGGGTTTAGGGTTTAGGGTTCAGGGTTCAGGGTTGAGGGTTTAGGGTTTATATAGGGTTGAGGGTTTAGGGTTTAGGGTTTAGGGTGAAAGAGTTTTTTGAAAGCCAGCTGCAAGCCTCTAAGAAGCCCCTGACATGAATGCCCCCCCCCCCCCCCCCTGATTTTAAACATGTTTGAACCGTCAAGCCTGCACGAAGCTGTACAGGTCGTGGAGCTGTGCTGGTGCCCATACGGCAGCGCTTGCGCCACCCCCGAAAACTTCAACATTGCGGCCATCCAGCTGCACATCCTCTGCCCGCCCGGGCAGTACGAGAAGGCATCATTACTCCCCAAACAGTGCTTGCACAATGGGGTTCTTACGTTCAGGGTAAAGGAATTGGTTGCTGACCGCAACGGCGTGCGCGGCGGTGTGACGGGGCCTTGGTTTCGACGCTCCCGCTGTGGTTTCGCGCGAATTCCGTTGCGTTTCGATGCTCCCGCTGTGGTTTCACGCGAATTCCGTTGCATTTCGACGCTCCCCCTGTGGTTTCGCGCGAATTCCGGCCTCTCGTGGCCTCTTCAGGCCTCTTCTGGGGGGGCCACTTAGGTTGCCGACCGCAACGGCGGGCGCGGTGAGACGGGGCCTTGGTTTCGACGCTCCCGCTGTGGTTTCGCGCGAATTCCGTTGCGTTTCGATGCTGCCGCTGTGGTTTCGCGCGAATTCCGTTGCATTTCGATGCTCCCGCTGTGGTTTCGCGCGAATTCCGGCCTCTCGTGGCCTCTTCATGCCTCTTCTGGGGGGGCCACTCAGGTTGCCGACCGCAATGGCGCGCGGTGGGACGGGGCCTCGGTTTCGATGCTTCCGCTGTGGTTTCGGGCAAATTCCGTTGCGTTTCGATGCTCCTGCTGTGGCTTCGCGCGAGTTCCGTCGCATTTCGATGCTCCCGCTGTGGTTTCGCGCGAATTCCGTTGCATTTCGATGCTCCCGCTGTGGTTTCACGCGAATTCCGGCCTCTCGTGGCCTCTTCTCTTCTGGGAGGGCCGCTTAGGTTGCGCGCCGCAACGGCGCACGCGGTGGGGCGGGGCCTTCGTTTCGAGGCTCCCGCTGTGGTTTCGCGCGAATTCCGTTGCGTTTCGATGCTGCCGCTGTGGTTTCGCGCGAATTCCGTCGCATTTCGATGCTCCCGCTGTGGTTTCGCACGAATTCTGGCTTCTCGTGGTTTCTTCAGGCCTCTTCTGGGGGGGCCACTTAGGTTGCCGACCGCAACGGCGCGCGCGGTGACGGGGCCTTGGTTTCGATGCTCCCGCTGTGGTTTCGCGCGAATTCCGTTGCGTTTCGATGCTCCCGCTGTGGTTTCGCGCGAATTCCGTTGCATTTCGATGCTCCCGCTGTGGTTTCGCGCGAATTCCGGCTTCTCGTGGCCTCTTCAGGCCTCTTCTGGGGGGGCCACTTAGGTTGCCGACCGCAACGGCGGGCGCGGTGAGACGGGGCCTTGGTTTCGACGCTCCCGCTGTGGTTTCGCGCGAATTCCGTTGCGTTTCGATGCTGCCGCTGTGGTTTCGCGCGAATTCCGTTGCGTTTCGATGCTCCCGCTGTGGTTTCGCGCGAATTCCGGCCTCTCGTGGCCTCTTCAGGCCTCTTCTGGGGGGGCCACTTAGGTTGCCGACCGCAACGGCGCGCGCGGTGAGACGGGGCCTTGGTTTCGACGCTCCCGCTGTGGTTTCGCGCGAAATCCGTTGCGTTTCGATGCTGCCGCTGTGGTTTCGCGCGAATTCCGCATTTCGATGCTCCCGCTGTGGTTTCGCGCGAATTCCGTTGCATTTCGATGCTCCCGCTGTGGTTTCACGCGAATTCCGGCCTCTCGTGGCCTCTTCTCTTCTGGGAGGGCCGCTTAGGTTGCGCGCCGCAACGGCGCACGCGGTGGGGCGGGGCCTTCGTTTCGAGGCTCCCGCTGTGGTTTCGCGCGAATTCCGTTCCGGCCTCTTGTGGCCTCTTCAGGCCCCAGTGGTTGGCCACGGGCCTTTTTGACCCCAAGTTCCACACGCGTGCAAAGCCGAATCCCCCAGTGGTTGGCGTCTTTTTGACCCCCAAGGGAATTCGGCCCCCCACGAACTTTTGTACTTTTTGTCCCCGGGAGTGTCGGTGCTCTTCTGGCCTTCTTTGGCCTTTTCTGGCCCTCCTCACTGTTTGGGGTCTACGCCGGCATAATTTTTTCTCTCGTTTTTTTTGGAAGTCCTCGGCCCTAAACCCCCCACGTTTTCTCTGCTTGAAGAGGGCCCATTGTTCCGGGAAGGGGGCCCGCGTTTTAGCTAGAAGAGGCTCGCTTTCCGAGCGAAAAGTCGCCACTTTTCCGCAAAGAAAGGGGGGTGGCCTTTCAGCCTGCCGACCCCCCCTCTTCGAGCAGAAAAGGGAAGGCTCCAGGGTTTAGGGTTTCGGGTTTAGGGCTTAGGGCTTTTCAGCAGAAAAGCTTTCCCTTTTTTCCGTGGCCCTGGTTGCGCAAGGCCGGGGTTTGCCAGCTTTGCCCTGCCAACAGCTATTGCCCCGACGGTCAGATGTTGCAGAGCTGCCCCACGGCCAGCACGGCCCCAGTTGGCTCCAGTTGGCTCCCCAGTTTCTGTCTCGATTGGGTGCGGAAGAATTGGGGGGGGGGGGGGGGGCTTTTTCTGAAGAGCCACCCCTAAACCCCAAACCTTTGACCATCTGTAACCAAACCCAATAGCCCTCAACCCTAAACCCTAAACCCTAAGCCCTAAACCCTAAACCCTAAACCCTCAACCCTCAACCCTCAACCCCCGAGTCCTCCACACTAAAGAGGCATTCTTGCCAGTGAGGCCAGCTGGAAGAATGCCTGTGCAACCCGGGACGCTATCGCGACACTGAAAGCGCAAGCTGCCTCGTCTGTCCGTGGCTTTGACGTATTTTACTATATAGATGTGAGGATAACTAAAGAATATAAATAGCTAAGAATCAGAATAAATATATAGATATATACATACATACACATACCTAGATGTATATCTATATTTCTGTGAGTCTTATGCATTTTGCAGAAAAGTCCCTGAAGTGACGTTCCCCTCCCAGGTATGGCTCCACAACGCCCTTTGCAGGGGCCACCTCGGTGTTCTCATGCGTCTGCCAGGCCGACTTCGTGAACACAGATCCTCAGAATCCTGCAGTGTGCGAGTGCGGGCCCGGTTTTGGCTTCGACGTGGAAAGAGGACTCTGTGAGCCGTGCCCACAGGGGGCCTACAAAGAGGTTGGCGGAAATGTGCTGTGCTCCAGCTGCCCGCCGGACCAGTCCACCTTGCAGGAGGCGTCCAAATCGGCCGAGAGCTGCCTTTGCCAGCCGGGCTTGAGCTTGGACAACGTCAGCTGCTCAAGGTGTCCGAGTTTGGGCCCCTTCCGCCCTAGTCGCCCTCTTACCCTACAAGCCCTGAACCCCCCCAACCCTAAACTCCCTAAGCATCTAGCCCCCCTCTTACCCTAAGAAGCCCGGAACCCCCAAACCTTAAAATTCCCTAAGCGCCCGGAAAGCTTTGTGAAAAGGTGCCGGCCGGGCTTCTACTGCAACGGCACCGGGGTGGCTTTCCCGTGCCAGGAGGGTGCGAACTCCTCGGTTGGGGCCCGGTCTCCCGACGACTGCGTCTGTCGAGCCGGCCACTACTTGGAGGTGCAGTAAGTTTAGGGCATATAGGTACCCCTAAATTGGGTACCCTAGCTAGGGTTCCATGTTACATGGTATAGTCCCCGCGAAGTAGAACTTTACTTTTGGCTGCAAGTGCAGGATGGCGGGCGTTGCAACCTCTGCCCCAAGGGCCGCTACAAGCAGTCGGATGGCAACGAGGGCTTTTGCCCCCTGCAATGTCCCACGGATGCCGACAGCGACGAGGGCTCCGTTTCCTTGTCTGCTTGCTTCTGCAAAGAGGGCTTCTCAGCATGGCTGGACTCGGCGGCCAATCTCGCGCGATGTGACAACTGCAATGCGTTCGCAGCGTTGAGCTGTCCCGGCGGCTTTCATGGCGGGACCACAGACCACCGCTTGCCTGTGGCAATCCCAGGCTACTTTCAAACAGGCGGATTTGGGGTCACATACACACAGATGTCCATGCAGCGTGCAGCCGGACTTAAGAGCCTCCAGCTCATGCCGCCGAGCCCAGTAGGGGTTTAGGTTTAAGGGCTGAGGCTGCCGCCGCAGCATCAAGAAGGAAGTCCCACGGACGGACGGACGCACGGACGCACGGACACACGGACGCACGGACGCATGGACGCACGGACGCACGGACACACCGACGCACGGACGCACCGACGCACGGACGCACGGACGCACGGACGCACGGACGCATGGACGCACCGACGCACGGACGCACCGACGCACGCACGGACGCACGGACGCACGGACGCACGGACGCACGGACGCACGGACGCACGGACGCACGGACGCACGGACGCAGGGACGCACGGACGCACGGACGCACGGACGCACGGACGCACGGACGCACACACGCTTGCACGCTGGGACGCACGCACGCACGCACGCACGTTGGCACGCACGCTGGCACGCTGGCACGCTGGCACGCTTGCACCATTGCACGCTTGCACGCTTGCACGCTTGCACGCTTGCACGCTTGCACGCTTGCACGCTTGCACGCTTGCACGCTTGCACGCTTGCACGCTTGCACGCTTGCACGCTTGCACGCTTGCACGCTTGCACGCTTGCACGCTTGCACGCTTGCATGCTTGCACGCTTGCACGCTTGCACGCTTGCACGCTTGCACGCGTGCGGGCCCGCGTGCGGGCCCGCGTGCGCCGGCGCGCGAGAGCAGTCCAGGCAGGGTCACGGCCATCAAATGCAACAGCGTCGTGGACGGCGGCCTCAGCGCTTGCTTGGGTAGCGGCAATTGCTCGAGCAATGAAGACATGAGCTGCGTGGCTCGGATGCAGATGGCATCATGTCGTAAGCATGTCGTCTTCAGCTCTACATTCTACATGACCCCCTTGCAGCCAAGGTTGGGAACTATAGCAACGCATCCTGGCCGAACTTAGTCATGGGTCTGTCTCCTTTGGAAGCCCTTTTTGACTTAGTAAGTTGGGTTCGGGGGATGATTATCAGGGTTTCTAGAAGATGCTAAGTGGACCTAGTAAGTCAAAAGGGCTTGCAAGCAGGTTCAAGAAGCTGTAAGTCCGGCGAATTTGCGACACCGGCTCAGGGCTCTCTAAGCCTAGAATCCCAAGGGGCCAGGTCCGAAGTCCTTGGCCCAAACCCCAGAGCCACAGGCATGAATACCTCTGAATACCTAACAAGCCTCCTTAAATTCCATATGAAGTAGGGTTGATATTCCTTGTACCCCAAAAGGACACCCCATATACACTCACCAATATTTCAAAGGAACCTTATGTAGGTCCTTATTTACACTCACTAATAACAGTACTCTAAGCCCTACTTCATATCACGGCCCTCATGCAAGGCGGTGGATGTTCCCCACAGTGGAGCAGTATGGACTCTTTAGGGAGTAGGGTCCGTCGGCCAAGTGTGAACGTTTGGTAGCTATCAGTCGGTTCATAAGTACCCTCAGTGGGCTATGACTATAATTGCCATACTTGTAACCCTACTGATAGAACTACCCATATGAACCTCCAAGCATGTAGGGTTACAAGGATGGTAGCTAGACTTCTAACCCTATTTAGGGAACCCTTTAGCCCGACTTTTAACTACCCAAATGAACCTCCAAGTATCCCTAAACCCTAAACCCTCAACCCTCAACCCTAAACCCTAGAAACCCTGAACCCTCAACCCTAAGTAATCCCCTCTCCATTTTTCGGGAGGCTTGTGCGGAGGGCTCCGACGGCAAGCTTTGTGGGGAGTGCCCGAAGGGTTGGGCCCGAGCCAGCATCCGGGCGCCCTGCCAGCCGTGCCCGGAGGCGATGGGTTTGGGGTTCAGGGTTTAGGGTTCAGGGTTTAGGGTTTAGGGTTTAGGGTTTAGGGCTTGGGAGTTAGGGTTTGGGGTTTAGGGTATAGAGCCTCGAAAGCTGTAGCTGATAGGTGCCCGGGGTGTTCAACGTTCTACCCGCAGGGCGCCGGCCCTAAACCCTAAGCCCTAAGCCCTAAGCCCTAAACCCTAAACCCCAAACCCTAAACCCTAAACCCTAGACCCTGAACCCTGAACCTTGAACAGTCCTGCAGGCAACGCTGCCGCTGGTCGCCTCCATCCTGGCCGATGTGGGGCTCAACGTCGTCGTCAACTTTGTGGTGGCCGCAACTTACCGTTGGCTAGCAGGGAATGCGGGAGCTAGGGGCCCTAAACCCTAAACCCTAAACCCTAAACCCTAAACCCTAAACCCTAAACCCTAAACCCTAAACCCTAAACCCTAAACCCTAAACCCTAAACCCTAAACCCTAAACCCTGAACCCTGAACCCTGAACCCTGAACCCTGAACCCTGAACCCTGAACCCTGAACCCTGAACCCTGAACCCTGAACCCTGAACCCTAAACCCTGAACCCTGAACCCTGAACCCTAAACCCTTTAAGGGATTACGTATAGGGTACCTTATTCCCCCATTCCCTACTAACCAACTGCAAGGCAATGGCCGCGACCGCGGCGGTGCGCGGCAGCGGCAAGTTGCCGCGCGGCTTGCACAGAGAGCGGAGGGGGGAGGAGAAGGCAGGGTGTAGGGTTTAGGGTTTAGGGTTTAGGGTTTAGGGTTTAGGGTTTAGGGTTTAGGGTTGTGGGGATCCGTCGGGGGCGGGGTTCATCGGGTCCTGTCGTGGGGCGGTGGAGTGTTGTGAATCTATGGTGCGTGTGACAAGCCTTGGGCTTAGATTTTGGGTCTAAGGGTTTAGGGTTTAGGGTTCAGGGTTTAGGGTTTAGGGTTGAGGGTCTAGGGTTCAAGGCTTCGGAGACTCAGGCATACCATCATGATCCGCATCGCCACCCAGTGGCTGGCCGCCTGCTCCGTGATCGCGACCTTTCAGTTGGACCAAATCCAGGCGAAACACGAAACCCTGGACCCTGACCCTTGAACCCCCAAACCCCAAACCCCCAAGCCCAAACCCTACAGCCTAGACCCTAAACCCTAAACCCTAAAGCCTGAAGCCTGAAGCCTAAAGCCTAAAGCCCTAATCCCTAAACCCTAAAAACCGTAATATGTGTTATGGGCGGGAGCACCGCGAAAGGCAAGGCCCTCAGCCCTCAACCCTGGAAACCCAGAGCGCAACTCCCAACCCCAGCAGCAAGCACTAAGCCCTAAGCCCTAAGCCCGAAGCCCTAAACCCTAAACCCTAAACCCTAAACCCTAAACCCTAAACCCTAAACCCCAAAACCCAAAACCCTAAACCCTAAACCCCAAAAGAGGCCCTGAAAAGACAACTGGAAGGGAAGCACAAACGCCTTTGTACTTGGAGGTTCATGTGGGTTGCTATAAGTAGGGTTATGAGTACCTTGAACAGGGCTATATAGAAGTACAGCTACCATACCACGAACCTCTGCACCCAGCTCACAGACTCCCAGCTTTTTACGAGCATAAGTCTAGCACGCCGCAAAACTACTCCGCACGTAAGATGCACCCCGTGCCTCTTCTCCACCACTCCGCGGTATGTGTCGTATCGTAGAGTTTAGGGTTTAGGGTTTAGGGTTTAGGGTTTAGGGTTTAGGGTTTAGGGTTTAGGGTTGTTTTTCCCCAGATAGGTCGAAGCTTTGAGTGTTTTCTCGGCCTGGGCTTGTCCAAACCGGAGACCCTAAACCCTAAACCCTAAACCCTAAACCCTAAACCCTAAACCCTAAACGCTAAACCCTAAACCCTAAACCCTAAACCCTAAACCCTAAACCCTAAGTTGTAACACGCCTGGCTCACCTGGGGCCTGAGGCCTCGGAAGATTCCCGCAATCTTAAGGTCCTTTGCACAGGACATGTGCTCCTCGCCTCCTGGGATTGGTTTATAGATGTACATGTAAATAGATGAATACATAAATATATATTTCTATGTAATGTGCACATATATGTTTAGAAATGTATATGTAGTTATCTTGGAAGTTCATGGGTAGTTATGAGCTGAGGGTACTGATGAGCCTCGAAGCATTGATTCAACATGTGAGCCCCAGGCCACACGTCAGTCCCTGTTGTGAAGCTCGCTGCTAGATTTCAGGTGCAGCTTCCGTGGGAAGAAGGGACGTCTGGTGACGCACCCGGCTTCACGACGTTTGCATGGCCAGAGGAGGCCTGCTTTCAGGGTTGGGCTTAGGGTTTAGGGTTTAGGGTTTGGGGTTTGGGGTTTGGGGTCTAGGGTTTAGAGTTTAGGGTTTAGGGTTTATGGTTGGGGTTAGTTGGGGTTAGTGGTGTTCGGGCTGGTACCTTGCAGCAGTTTGCGATCCTCGACCAAAAGCGTGACTGACGCACAGGAGTGACTTGACGCGTGGGTTGTACCTGTTTTGTTTGACACAGTCTGCGGTCTGCAAAGTCTTGGGTGCAGGCAATGGCACCAGCTGGTGAATGAATCTCATGCTCTACGTCAGTAAGCCTTCTGAGAGGCTGCCCTCGCTCCCCAAAACCCCGAGAGCTCCCCAGCAGAAAAGCCTGGAGGTGACGTTGGTGTTGCGGGGCCTCTTCGATTCCCTCACCCTGACACCCGCCTGGGTATCGGTGGACTTCGCAGCACAGTGCCGGGCCCAGGCAGGCCGGTGGGTTCAGGGTTTAGGGTTTGGGGTTTGGGGTTTAGGGTTTGGGGTTTAGGGTTGGAGCTTGCTTGCAGGTTCAGAGGCAGCTTCTTAATTACTAGGGTTGCAAAGTCATAGGTATAGTGATCATACGTATGAGTTGAAACCCTGCTTCTAACCTAAACCCTGAACCCAGAACCCAAAACCCTGAACCCAAAACCCTAAACCCTGAACCCTAAACCCTAAACCCTAAACCCTAAACCCTAAACCCTGAACCCTGAACCCTAAACCCTAACAACGGCTTTGCCCTTGCAGAACCCTTTTCGCGGGAGGGGATGGAGGGGCGACTTGGGGGTTCAAGCTTTCTTTTTCAGGGTTGAGGGTTTAGGGTCTAGGGTTTAGGGTTTAGGGTTTAGGGTATAGGGTTTAGGGTTTAGGGTTTAGGGTTTAGGGGTCAGGGTTTAGTGTTTAGGGCTGTTGCGGTTTGGTTCTGCCAGCCTCTGGGGTTCTGGGTTCCGGGAGCTTTGTCGCTCGGGGTTCAGGTCCTGTAAGGTAGTCTGCAAGCTTTGCTAAACCCTAAACCCTAAACCCTAAACCCTAAACCCTAAACCCTAAACCCTAAACCCTAAACCCTAAACCCTAAACCCTAAACCCTAAACCCTAAACCCTAAACCCTAAACCCTAAACCCTAAACCCTAAACCCTAAACCCTAGAACCTAAACCCTAAACCCAAGACCCTAAACCCTAAACCCTGAACCCTGAACCCTGAACCTTGAACCCTGAACCCTGAACCCTAAACCCTAAACCCTAAACCATGAACCCTAAACCCTAAACCCAAAAGCCTAAACCCTGGAACTGCGGAGGAGTTGTCGGAGAATCCGGTCGCTCCACGTGTGGCGCTTGGCTTGTACACCATCTGCCTCCCTCTGCTGGCGATCCTCGGCGTTATGGTCTTCTGCTCTCTGGCTGTCTATGTCGTGGTGCCCTTGGCGTCGCTGCTGGGATACTCGTTCAACGAGGCTGGGAGAGGGGACGGGGGGGGGGGGGGGCGGGGGCCTTTTGCAAGGCTAAACCCGAAATCGTAAGCCCTTCGCCCGTAAACCGTAAACCCTAAACCCCACACCCTAACTCCTAAGCCCTAAACCCTAAACCCTAAACCCGAAACCATTGAACCGAAACCCGACACCGCAGTGGTGCCCCTTCACATTCCCAGTTCGGGGCGACAAGAGCCTGCAAGCGCGACAAGCTCCTGATCCAGACCTAAGCGATAGGCGGTTAGAGGAAGACCTGCCAAAATCGGGAATCTCCGTTGTCGTTTGCTGCGGTGCCCTTTTTCCCCTTCTTTTTTGGTTCTGGTTCCCTTTGAAAGTAACCAGCCCCATGGAAAGGGTAAGATGTTTATGGAAGATGGTTACTGGATACCTTAACAAGCTGAGCCCAATTACTTTCCCCCCCCCCCCCACACCCCCCCTCCCCCCCCCCACCCCCCCCCACCCCCCAACACCCCCCCCCCCCCACCCCCCCAACAAAAAACAGCTACCCTATTATTATGGTTTACTGGGCCTAAACCTAAACCCTACAACCTTAAACCCTACGCCCTAAGCACCAGCCCTAAACCCCTAAAAACCTAAACCCTCAACCCCTCACCCTCAACCCCTAACCCCCAAACCCTAACCCCTAAACCCCTAAACCCCTAAACCCCTAAACCCCCAAACCCCTAAACCCCTAAACCCCTAAACCCCTAAACCCCTAAACCCCCAAATCCCTAAACCCCTAAACCCCTAAACCCCTAAACCCCCAAACCCTGACCCCTAAACCCTAAACCCTAAACCCTAAACCCTAAACCCTAAACCCTAAACCCTAAACCCGAAATCCTAAACCCTAAACCCTAAACCCTAAACCCTAAACCCTAAACCCGAAACCCTAAGCCCTAAACCCTCTAAGGATGAGCTGGAGCAGTCCGGTGTCCTGGACATCCCACAGAGGGAGCTCAAGGAGGCGGCGGCGAATCCCGATGCCTTCCTCCGGAAGGCCGAGGGTTTAGGGTTTAGGGTTTAGGGTTTAGGGTTTAGGGTTTAGGGTTTAGGGTTTAGGGTTTAGGGTTTAGGATTTAGGGTTTAGGGTTTAGGATTTAGGGTTTAGGGTTGAGGGTTTAGGGTTTAGGATTTAGGTTTATGGTTTAGGAGTTTAGGGTTTAGGGTTTGGCGTTTAGGGTTCAGGGGTTTAGGATTAGGATTTAGGGGTTTAGGGGTTTAGGGGTTTAGGGGCTTAGGGTTTAGGGGTTTAGGGGCTTAGGGGTTTAGGTATTTAGGGTTTAGGGGTTTCGGGTTGAGGGCTTTCCTCCGGAAGGCCGTGCTGAGCTCCCGGGGTCTGATGATCCGAGCCTGCGCCGCGCGGGCCCGCGCCCGGACGTCCCACCTGCCCGTGGACCCCTCGGACGAGCTGGCCCTCTCGGAGGCGGAGCTCAACCTCTCGCCTTTGGATGAGGCCTGAGCCTAAACCCTAAACCCTAAACCCTAAACCCTAAACCCTAAACCCTAGACCCTAGACCCTAATCCCTAAACCCTAAACCCTAAACCCTAAACCCTAAACCCTAAACCCTAAACCCTAAACCCTAAACCCTAAACCCTAAGAGGCCCTGCCGGCCCTCTTGAAGATGGACCTGACCCCTTACCTGCAGGCCTGGCAGCCCAGTGGCACCCTTTTTGCCCCTTTCTTGCGATCAGCCAAAGGGTTTAGGGTTAGGGTTTAGGGTTTAGGGTTTAGGGTTTAGGGTTTAGGGTTTAGGGTTTAGGGTTTAGGGTTTAGGGTTTAGGGTTTAGGGTCTAGGGTGTAGGGGGTTTAGGGTGTAGGGCGTTTAGGGTTTAGGGTTTGCCCTTACTTGGAATATGGTTCCGGGGCTACCAAGCAGGACGCCAGCGAGGAACAGGACCTCGAGGCCGTCCTGGACAAGATCATCGCCGAGGCATGCCTTCAGTTCCCCGAGACGGCGCTCGAACACCAGGCCCGCCGCACTCTGCCCCGTGCCCAGAGACTCCACAGCCCGTACTTTAGGAAGATTCCTCAAACAATACAAGGAACCCTCTTGTATTTTAAGGAGTATTCCTGAATTAAGGGGTATTGGAGTGCCTGGGTGCTGTTGCCTCAAGTCTCAAAGGTCGGACCCCACAACTGAAACTTTGAGGAGGTGGGGGGCGGGGCGCGTGTACGCACCTGGATATCCTACTAGTGGTTAGTGATTTGTATGGTATGAGGTTTCCAGACATGTAGAATGCAATTGGTAGGCTGCTGTTGCCAACTGAAACTTTGGGTCGGGTTAGGATTTGGGATGTCGCCGACGCAGGACGAATTCTCTCCAACCCGGTACTTGGAGGTTCATGGGTAGAAGTAGGGTTATGAGCATGGCAACTGTACTTGCAACCCTATTTAGGGTACTGATAGCCCTACTTGTACTTATCTTAAACCCCTAAACCCTAAACCCGAAACCCTAAACCCTAAACCCTAAACCCCAAGGACACATGGAGTCCTTACGTGTGAGGTGAAAGAGATCGAAGACGGGGAGCCGGGCGAGGAGCCGGAGGCAGCTGGGGCACGGGGGCCTTAAGACTTTGATGGCGAATAGGAAGGGCCCTTAGTAATTCGAATCGGGTTTAGGGTTTAGGGCCCCAAGAAAATACCGCCATTATTCCGACCCCTTTATGAGATTCGTCTGGATGTGTAAGGCTCGCCTGAAATCTGGAAACTACTCTCAAAGATGAGAGCCATCGTCAGTGCTTATGAGAAATCCCCTAGAAGCTAAGACATGTCGGAGAAGCCTCATATCGCAAGGCTAGCCTCTGAGTGAGAGAGTGGATCGAGTTAGGTGAAAATGTGCGGTATCATGGGGGGGGGGGGTGGGGGGGGTTGGGCGGGGTCGATTCGTTTGTGGAGTTGAAGTCCTGTTTGGTCGGGAGGCTTGAGTGATAAGCCTTGGGAAACGATTGGCAAGCTGAGTTGAGATCCCGATCAAATAGAGAAGGAAGCATAGAGCATCTTGAGCCAAACAGGTCTAGATTTAGGGTTGGTGATTCGGAGCTTGGGGCTTTTTCTTTCCGAGTTCGTGAGGGTTTTGGGTGGGGAAGCTGGAATATGGGGACCAACACCCGAAACCTTAAACCCTAAACCCTAAGCCCTTATGTTTCCGACTTCGCGCGGTCTCTCCCGGATACTTTACGCGCCTTCTACCCGAGCCCGCCTACTGTGGACTCCCCAGAGAGCCCAAAACCCCTTAGTTAAGCAATATTCCTTAAACCATATAGGGATCCTTAGTATGATTTTAAGGAATATTCCTTAATTAAGGGGTATTGGGCTCTTTGGGTGCCTCCACTACTTGGACAGTTCATGGGTCGTTATAAGTACGGTTAGCTGTACCCCGAAATAAGGCAAGAAATATAGGTACCTTCACTATAACTCTACATGTAATTACCCATGAACCTCCAAGTTAGCTTTCGTCCAAACCCTTGAACCCCAAGTCAGAGAAGACGTCGCGAACTCTTCGGCAAGGACCCCGTGGCCCTAAACCTTAAACCCGAAACCCGAAACCCGAAACCCTAAACCCTAAACCCTGAACCCTAAACCCTAAACCCTAAACCCTAATTCCTAAACCCTAAACCCTAAACCCTAAACCCTAAACCCTAAACCCTAAACCCTAAACCCTAAACCCTAAACCCTAAACCCTAAACCCTAAACCCTAAACCCTAAACCCTAAACCCTAAACCCTAAACCCCAGTCTATCCTAAACTCCGCTTCGGCATTGGAGGGTTCCCCGAACAACGCCTACAATGGAATACGGTTTCGTGTCTGTAGGAATTTGTTGAAACCCTAAACTTCAAACCCTAAACCCTAAGCCCTAAACCCCAAACCCCAAACCCCAAACCCCAAACCCTAAACCCCAAACCCCAAACCCCAAACCCCAAACCCTAAACCCTAAACCCTAAAGCCGAAGCCCAAAAAAGAGAGCCCAACGAAAGCGCCCAAAGGCCTCTCGAAGTGTAGCCCTGGAAGCAAGGCTGCCGACCCAGACTCTCCAGTCCCACCCGAAGCGCAAGTGCTGGACATGGCACTCCTGCTGCCCGGCTACCCAAAGCTCTTGAAAAGGGTGGTCAAGGGCTTGCCTTTCTAGGGTTTAGGGTCTAGGGTTTAGGGTTTGGGGTTTAGGGTTTGGGGTTTGGGGTTTAGGGTTTAGGGTTTAGGGTTTAGGGATCTGAGAGAGCTTGTCTAGCAACTTGCTGGTTCCTTGCCCTTCAAGCGAGCCCTTCTCAAGCTGAGGGCGCCGTTCCCCACCAACAACAGAGCGAAACCGAAGCTCGGTCTTGGTTTGGGGGCATACTGGGGGCATACTGGGAGGTTGCTTTGGGCGGTTTAGGGTTTAGGGTTTAGGGTTTCGGGCTTGGGGTTTAGGGTTTAGGGTTTAGGGTTTGGGGTTTAGGGTTTAGGGTGTACGCTGAGGTTCATTTGGGTCGTTAGAAGTAGGGTTACGAGTACCCTAAATGGGGGCTTGGAAGCATACGACCATGCTTCCTTCTTCCTTCAAACCCTAAACCCTACACCCTACACCCGAAACCCTAAACCCTAAACCCTAAACCCTAACGAGGGATCGATGGAGCGTGCAGCAGAGCCCAAGCGGTTGCTGCCGAGCAAGGCAGGCTCGAGCAGCTATGCTGCGAGAGGCTTTGGGGCTGCCCTAGTGGGCCCAAATGGGGGGTATTCCAGACCGTCCCCTTGGCCTGGAAGGGCCGGGTTCAGGGCTAGAGGAAGTCCCCCCGCGCCAAAGGGCCCCCGGGCGAAGAGGGCCGTACATCAATGAAAAATGTTTTTTTTTTTAAATTGGAAAGTGCAGGAAGCCCCCAAGAGGCGCCAAGAGCCACCAAAAGGCTTCAAAAGCTTCAAAAGGCCTCCTAAAAGAAGGGGGACCGCAAGATTTGTCCGTGCCCACAATGACAAATGCGACTTTTGAATAGTGAAAACGATGGTTTTAGGCACCCCTGCCCGCAATGAAAAATGTTGTTTTTTAGTACTGAAATCGATGGCTTTGGGCACCCCTCCATTGCACCCCAAAAGACCAGGAAAGCCCCAGGAAGCCCCCAAATCAGCAAGGGCCTCTACGGGCCCTGACGTGCCGAAGGCCCGAAAAGGGCCGAGGCTACCCCGAACCCCAGCTTAAACCCTAACACCGCAAAACCCTTCAAGCAAATAAGGGCCTCTACGGGCCCTAACGTGCCGAAGGCCCGAAAAGGGCCGAGGCTACCCCGAACCCCAGCGTTGGCGAAAAAAATTAATAGGTTCCCTGACCTTCAAATGAATAAAGCCTACGCCGAAGGTCCGAACAAGGCCCTGACAGACCCCAAGAGCCACCAAAAGGCTTCAAAAGGCTTCAAAAGGCCCCTGAAAGAAGGGGGACACAGGATGCCCGTACCCGCAATGAAAAATGCGATTTTTTGGTACTGAAATCGATGGTTTTATCCTTCACTTTACCCCGGCAGGGCCAGGAAAGCCCCCAGGAAGCCCCCAAAAGGCCCCAAGAGCCACCAAAAGAAGGGGAATCCAGGAGCAGGCACAAAGGGTTTCCCTGACCTTCAAATAAATAAGGGCCTTTACGGGCCCTGACACGCCGAAGGCCCGAAAAGGGCCGAGGCTACCCCCAACCCCAGCTTAAACCCAAACAGCGCAACTGCAAAAACATCAAAGCAAGGATCAGAGCACAAGAACATAAATTCCATAAACCCTAAACCCTAAACCCTAAACCCTAAACCCTAAACCCTAAACCCGGAATGTTTGCGGCTCCTCGCAGGAAAGCCGGGCAGTCCACCGTGAGCTTGGCCACCGCGCGGTCGAGCACGTCAAGCAACCGGGCCTCGAAGTTCGACACAGACCCCGAGCTCGACGAGGCGCGCGCCGGGGAAGATTGTGTAGGGTTTAGGGTTTAGGGTTTAGGGTTTAGGGTTTAGGGTCTAGTGTCTAGGGTTTAGGGTTTAGGGTTTAGGGTAGGGTTTTGGGTGTTAGGGTTTAGGGGTTACGGTTCCGGGTCCAGGGTTCAGGGTTCGCCGCAAGACCAGCTTGGCTCCCAGGTGTGTGACTCAAGGCTTCCAGATACCCACTTGAAGAGGGGCTTCTCAAAATGTGGTCTTAGGGTTTCGGGTTCAGGGTTTATGGTTTAGGGTTTAGGGTTTGGGCTTACGGACCCGAAACCTTACAACGGACCCTCAGAAAAAGACCCAACACAACCGCGGGACCCTGAACTTGTGCTGTAGCTTGGGGTTTAGGCTGTAGGGTTTAGGGTTTAGGGTTTAGGGTTTAATTTTGACTATGCGGTCTCCGCTGGTTCTAAGGGCTGTGGCTGCAAGGCAGAGTACCCAGGGACTCCAATGCTTGGGGTTGGGGTTTAGGGTTTAGGGTTTAGGGTTTAGGGTTTAGGGTTTAGGGTTTAGGGTTTAGGGTTTAGGGTTTAGGGTTTAGGGTTTAGGGTTTAGTTTAGTGTTTTTAGTGTGTTTAGGGTGTAGGTTTAGGAAACTTGCGTCGCTTAAAACCATATGAGGAGCCCAGTCAATAATTATATATTATCTTATGCATACATATCGTGACATACATTATACATATATACATATGGCGTCATCATCGCCCCCTCCGTTCACCAATGTTTTTCGATGTACATATATACATTATACATATATACATATAAACATAATATACAATATAACAATATACATATATCCTTATCATATGCATATCTCATATAATACATATATACTATATCCGTATCTACCTAGAATACACATACAAGATCTTCATATATACAATATTAACATATATACATATATACATGTATACATGTATACATATATACATATATATACATATATATACATATATATACATATATATACATATATATACATATATATACATATATATATATGTCATTTGTTACGGCCGTAACTTCGGGGTGCCTGTGCGACGTTGGGTTCAAAAGGCGTAGAAGTGCTGGCATGGGAGAGGGGGTGGGCACGGCTTCAATTGAATTGGCAGCCTGAAGAAGCCCGCTCGTTTTGCAGGACCCCACCCTAAACCCCAAACCCCAAACCCCAAACCCCAAACCCGAAACCCGAAACCCGAAACCCGAAACCGAAACCCCAAACCCCAAACCCCCCAAACCCCAAACCCCAAACCCTAAACCCTAAACCCTAAACCTAAACCCCTAGCTATTCAAAGACAGTGTAGTGAGGTGCATCCTCGGAGTCGGTTGGGGTGGCTGAAGGGCCCGAAGGGCCCGAAGACCCTAAAGCCCCATGACCTGAAAGAGCAACTTGACTTAGGGTTTAGGGTTTAGGGTTTAGGGTTTAGGGTTTAGGGTTTAGGGTTTAGGGTTTAGGGTTTAGGGTTTAGGGTTTAGGGTTTAGGGTTTAGGGTTACGGTTTAGGGTTTAGGGTTTAGGGTTTAGGGTTAGGGGGGTTTAGGGTGTAGTTTTTAGGGTTTAGGGTTAGGGTTTTTATAGGGTTTCGGGTTTCGGTTTAGGTTTTTTTTTTTTTTTTGTTCGTGGGGTTTGCGGGCGGGTTGGTATCTCCTCATGTCGTGAGAATTTTGAGGGGTACCCCTTTATAACCCCAAATAGAATGAACTCCTTTAAAAGGGATCCCTTGCAAGCGTACCCCTATTTTCGGAAACCCCCCATGTATGAGTACATGGGCCAGGGCCTAAACCCTAAACCCTAAACCCTAAACCCTAAACCCTAAACCCTAAACCCTAAACCCTAAACCCTAAACCCTAGACCCTAGACCCTAGACCCTAGACCCTAAACCCTAAACCCTAAACCCTAGACCCTAGACTCTAGACCCTAAGGCCTAAAGCCTAAACCCTAAACCCTAAACCCTAAACCCTAAACCCTAAACCCTAAACCCTAAACCGGTGTTGGGGGCCCCCTGTGAAGGCCATGGACTCTCTCGACTTCGGCCTCTTCACTGCTCGCCCGGGCCCGCGAGCACTGGTCTACCAGAGCATACCCGTGCCCGAGACTGCAGGAAGGCCCTAAGAGTTTAGGGTTTAGGGTTTAGGGTTGAGGGTTTAGAGCCCCCTGAATTAAGGAACAGACCTGAAATCATACTCAGGATCCCCTAGTAGGTAGATTAAGGGTATACTCAGGATAGAGACAGAGAAAAGACATTGGGCAACAGCAAGCCTGGTATTGGGCATTTTTCGTGTAGCTGCTTGCAGCTTATTTCATGCTTTCGTGTCATTCTATTACCCTAAACCCTAGACCCTAGACCCTAGACCCTAAACCCTAAACCCTGAACCCTAAACCCTAAACCATAAACCCTAACCCTAAACCGCTTACTTCATGCTTGCGTGTCATTGTATCTCAAGGATCCCAACACAAGCAAGGCTGAACCCGGGGTTCTCGCATGAAACAAGCCGCCATGAGTGCCACAACCTAAAGGCCTTGATACCCCAAACCCCAACCCCAAACCCCAAACCCCAAACCCCAATCCCGAAACCCCAAACCCCAAACCCCAAACCCCCCAAACCCCCCAAACCCCCCAAACCCCCCAAACCGCCCAAACCCCCCAAACCCCCCAACCCCCAAACCCCCCAAACCCCCCAAACCCCCCCCAAACCCCCAAACCCCCAAACCCCCCCAAACCCCCCCAAAACCCCCCAAACCCCCCAACCCCCCCCCCAAACCCCGCCCCCAAAACCCCCAAATCCCCCAAACCCCCAAACCCCCCCAAACCCCCAAACCCCCCAAACCCCCCAAACCCCCAAACCCCCCAAAACCCCCCCACCAAACCCCCAAACCCCCCAAATCCCCCCAAACCCCCCAAACCCCCCAAACCCCCCCAAACCCCCAAACCCCACCAAACCCCCCAAACCCCCCAAACCCCCCAAACCCCCCCCCCCCCAAACCCCCCAAACCCCCCCCCCCCAAACCCCCCAAACCCCCCAAACCCCCAACCCCCCAAACCCCCAAACCCCCAAACCCCCAAACCCCAAACCCCCAAACCCCCAAACCCAAACCCCCCTAACCCTAAACCCTAAACCCTAAACCCTAAACCCTAAGTTTCAAGCTCCCCAAGCTGCAGCGTCTTGCATTCTCCAGGTCATCTGGATCACGCTGGTTTGCTCTCTGGCCCGGCCTCCTACCAGCTTCCTTTCCATGATCTGGTGCGTTCCTATCCGGAGGACAGGGTTTAGGGTTTAGTTAGGGTTTAGGGTTTAGGGTTTAGGGTAGGTAGGTTTAGGGTTAAGGTTTGGGGCTTAGCTTGTACGGTTTAGGGTTTAGGGTTTAGGGCGCCAAGCCGGTGATCGGTTCAGTGTTGCACTGCCCAGAGACTCTCCGGCAGCATCAAGAATGTACCTGTGACGAAACCCTAAACCCTAAACCCTAAACCCTAAACCCTAACCCTCCCTAAACCCTAACCCCCCCAAAAGCTTGCCCGGACCCAAGCCTTGGCGGACACCTGGGTAGACAACCAGGTCGGTCACCCAGGTGGTCAGCAGGCGCTTCCGAACCGGACGTCGTGTGCTGGACCGATGAGCACCTTGGCGTTTAGGGTTCGGGGTTAGGGTTTGGGGTTTAGGGTTCGGGTTTTAGGGGTTTAATAAGGGGTATTCTTGGTAGCCAAAGGCTGCCCTATTTTTGGGTTTTGTAGGCTCCCCTATAAAGTAGCATCCCTAAAAAATTTACCCTGATGATAGTGTGGCTACTTGGCTACCAAGGGATTTTCCCTCTGCCGTGAATCGCCATCTCCGGCCTCATCCTCTGGTGCTTCCCCGCATTTTTAGGCATAATTTCGGGGGCTTCTGATGAAACGCTGTAAAGCCGAAGCCCTAACCCCTAACCCTAAACCCTAAACCCTAAACCCTACCCTAAACCCTAAATCCTAAATCCTAAACCCAAAACATCCCTGAACCCTGAACCCTGAACCCTAAATCCGAAACCGTAAAACTCAAACCTGAAACCCAATGCAGCCGGGACCCTCAACCCAAGACCGCTAGGGTTCGAGCGCGCACTTTCAGTATTTCGGTGGCCGAACCTAAGTTGCGCACAGGGTACGGCTGTATATTAAATATGAATAAACAATATATATATATATATATAGGTTCCTACTATGATTACATTACAGTACAGGACATTACATTGCATTACCTTCTGAGGTTATATTGTATTACATTATGCTATATTCACTTGTTTATAATAGAGCATCGTACAAAGCTATGTACAGTACATATGATCTAAACCCTAAACCCTAAATCCTACACCCTACACCCTGCACCCTAAACCCTAAACCCTAAACCCTAAGCCCTAAGCCCTAAGCCCTAAACCCTAAACCACATCAAATGTTATACTTTCTATGTTATGCTACACCGCAGGGTCTGGGTCCGAATTCGTGCCGCAATGTTCAGTTCTGGTTGAAGTTGAAAAGCAACAAGCGGGGTTTTGTAGTGGTTGCTCCCCAAACCTAAACCCTAAACCCTAAACCCTAAAACCCTAAACCCTAAACCCTAAACCCTAAACCCAAAACCCAAAACCCTAAACCCCAAACCCTAAACCCCAAACCCCAAACCCTAAACCCTAACCCCCCCTCCCCCCTTTCTTTTGAGGTGCCTTGGCATCCCCATGGTGCTGGCCTTGGTTCTCTTCCGCCTGAAGAACCGCCAGGCGATTGACAACAGCCGGCGCTTTGGTTACTTCCTCCAAGGCCTGGAGCAGGAGTACTGGTGGTGGCCCGGACCGTTTAGGGTTTAGGGTTTAGGGTTAAGGGTTTAGGGTTTAGGGTTTAGGGTTAAGGGTTTAGGGTTTAGGGTTTAGTGTTCAGGGCGGACCGTACAGCATATGAGCACAGCGTATATACTATTATGTAACTCTTAGTACAATTTCATGTATATTACAGGCTATGTAGCCCCTAATGCATCCTAACACATCATATATACTGAGTAGTGCGGATTGTATGTAAAAAACAGCAGATGACATGTTATATGTTGTATGTTGGGCTGTTCCGCCTTATACTAGCAGTCCCTACTAACAGGGGGTACTATAATCCCGATTAAGGACTGTAGCAAATGAGGCGACATCCCAAGTAATATGCTAATTAAATGTTTATGTGTTGTTTACGTGTTCCCTCTTGGGTCGGGGCTTCTCTTGCTAGGGGAGGCCCAAACTGGGACATTTTGTTTCTCCTCAACCCTAAACCCTAAACCCTAAACCCTAAACCCTAAACCCTAAACCCTAAACCCTAAACCCTAAACCCTAAGCCCGAAACCCTAAACCCTAAACCCCCATCCCATAGCTTGAGTTGCGCTTCGAGGCTTTGCATACTATGTATTGTCTATAGCCTGTAATAGAGATGTATGAGCATTGTGTTATTATCTCTATCAGTACTATTCTTATTATTGTTTTTAGTTATCATTATTAGTACTATTTTTATTAAATAGATAAATACATAAATAGATAAAGAAATACACATATATATATATATATATAGATATTTATAGAAGCCATCCAGTAGATTTTTTGCTATGTATTGTATGTTTTAGTATAATACGTCGCATGCTCGAAATGAGGGGTTGTTATGTTTTATATTCGTCATGTCTTTTTGAATGGCCCAGGTGGGACATCATCGTGAAACGAGTGGATGTGGGCTTGATGATGCAGCTTGAATTATAGGGTTCTTAAGGAAGGGGCGTTCAAGCGGGTACATAACCCAAGGTTCTCTAGTACTCCCTACTACGCCATAAGGTTCCCTCAGGTTCCCTAGGTACCTACCCCCCCATAAACCCTAAACCCTAAACCCTAAACCCTAAACCCTAAACCCTAAACCCTAAACCCTAAACCCTAAACCCTAAACCCTAAACCCTAAACCCTAATCCCTAAACCCTAAACCCTACACCCTAAACCCTCAACCCTAAACCCTCAACCCTAAACCCTAAACCCCAAACCCTAAACCTTAAACCCTAAACCTTAAACCCTAAACCCCAAGCCCCAAGCCCTAAACCCCAAACCCTAAACCCCAAACCCTAAACCTCCCTTCCGAACCCTAGAATTGAAGGCAAGATTCAACCTGCGAGCAGTGTGTAAACCACTGATTTTCCGCCTCCGGAGCTCTGAGTGCTGACTCCCAAACTCCCCCAAGAAGTTTACGGTTTTAGGGTTTAGGGTTTTAGGGTTTAGGGTTTAGGGTTTAGGATTTAGGGTTTAGGGTTTAGGATTTAGGAAGGCTTAGGGTTTGATTTAAGCCTCGAAGGCTTCAGGCGCTCAAACGCCCGAGAGCCCCCCCAACAGCCCACCGAAACTTCTCCATCCCCCTAAACCCTAAACCCCAAACCCTAAACCCTAAACTCTAAACCCTAAACCCTAAACCCTAAACCCGAAACCCGAAACCCTAAACCCGAAACCCTAAACCCTAAGCCCTAAACCCTCCAGAGTCCAGCAAGCCCAGGCTGATCACCTTCACCTCCGCCGTGCAGGAACCTGCATCGAAGCTCTTGGTCTTTCCCGTGCTGTCCGGTGTCCAGGTGCCTTTTAAAAGCTTTGCGGGTTTAGTTTTTAGGGTTTAGGGTTTAGGGTTTAGGGTTTAGGGTTTAGATTTTCCGAAACCCTGACTGCTTTACTGCAAAGCTGACGCGAGCGCTAAAGCCTAAAGCTGAACAGCCCGAGAGGTTTGGTACAGGAGCCTCTGTTGAGGGATGTCCTCACAGCCTGACATCCTCAGGCTTACGTAACGTTTTCAATCCTGTCCTTTCTCACAGCAGCGGACACTCTTCTTGATCTGCCGCTAGCCTTACATGCAGCAGCATGCTCGTGACATGCCCAGAGAGCCCAATGCACCTTCATTTTAAGGAATATATAGCTGAGACTATATAGGGATCCTTAGTATGATTTCTTAAGGTCTATTCCTTATAATTAAGAGGTACTTTGGGCTCTTTGGGGCTGCATGTTGGTAGTTCGTCCTTGCACTGAAATCGTTCACGGCTGAAAGCTCGTCATCCGATCCTGGAAAAGTCGTGCCATTTCGCTGTCTGACAGCCAATCTCCTCTACAGAGCAAATCGGAACGTGCCGGCTTGCACAATTGGGCTTGTCATTCTTCGCACGTCTCATTGCCATCGCCCTCGATCTCGGCCATCTCAGACACACGTGTGGCCCGCTCCTTTCGCACACATCCTCATGCACTCTCTTAGCGTCAGCCCTGCAATCAAGGTTGTAATACACCCCAGCAAATAGTTCTCGCACTCCTCATCGGTCCATAATGGCCATACTGGCACCGAGCTCCACGTCACGCGTAGTGAAGCAGCACCACAAACACCACGCCAGGAAGCCACGTTGGCTTTATAAAGGGTTTAGGCTTTGGGGTTTAGGGTTTAGGGTTTAGGGGCCCACGAACATCCAAGTACTGCAGTTTTCCAGGGATGCCACTTCCCGCAAGACCTTTGTAAGCCCTCAACAGCGTCCACCAGCCCCCACCCCCCCCCCCTCCGAAACTCTGCGCAGATGGGTTTGGCTGCTTGGCTGAAGCCCTACGCCAACGACCAGGCCGAAATTCTGGATACGCTGGAGGCGCGTTCCGGGCCCTCAGCTCTAGGAGTGCATCTACACCCTAAACCCTAAACCCTAAACCCTAAACCCTAAACCCTAAACCCTAAACCCTAAACCCTAAACCCTAAACCCTAAACCCTAAGCCCTAAACCCTTAACCCTTAACCCTTAACCCTAGACCCTCGACCCTAAACCCTAAACCCTCCAGAGTCCAGCAAGCCCAGGCTGATCACCTGCCTTAGCCCTAAACCTACCGCAGGATGGTGAAAGCTTCCTGACTCTAGCCCTAAACCCTAAACCCTAAACCCTAAAACCTTTTCCCTAAACCCTAAACCCTAAGCCCTAAACCCTAAACCCTAAACCCTAAACCCTAAGCCCTAAACCCTAAACCCTAAACCCTAAACCCTAAACCCTAAGCCCTAAACCCTAAACCCTAAACCCTAAACCCTAAACCCTAAACCCTAAACCCTAAAACCCTAAAACCCTAAAACCCTAAACCCTAAACCCTAAACCCACCTTTTAAAGGGAGCCTCAGAGACACGGCCTCCGAGAGCCTCTTGCGGTTTTGGCTGGGTCAGAGGCCCTGAGCAACAAAAGTTTCGAGTTTAGGGTTCAGGGTTTATAGGGTTTATCGGGGATTATAGGGGTTTTTTGGGGTTTACAGGGGTTGACAGGTTTTTTTTGGGGGTTTACAGGGTGTATAGGGGTTTATAGCGTGTGTAGGGGTTTATAGGGGTTTATGGGGGTTTATGGGGGCTGACAGGGGTTATAGGGGTTAGTTATAGGGTTTTATAGGGGTTAGGTTTGGGGGTGGGGCCGTATGGGGGTTTATAGGGGTTTGGGTTTAAGGTTTGCGCATGTGCTTCAGGGATTGCAGGATGGGGTACGGTGTAGATTGTTGGGGCGCGATTTTTGTTTGAGGCTTGGGGCTTAGGGCATCGGTTCTTGGTCTCGCGCGGGCTTGGAAATCCCAAGCTTAAACCCTAAACCCTAAACCCTAAACCCTAAACCCTAAACCCTAAACCCTAAACCCTAAACCCTAAACCCTAAACCCTAAACCCTAAACCCTGAAAAACCCTACTTCGGGCATGCTTTCATCTCCTCCGAACGTAGGACTGCGCAGCTGACCAGACTCAAGAGAGAAGGGCTCCCCGTGCGGTTTAGGGTTTAGGGTTTAGGGTTTAGGGTTTAGGGTGTCCTTGCGACCGGTTTCAGGTCTGATCGCGAAACGCAAACAAAATGGGCCTTGTTTCGTGTCACACATGCCCCATGAGATGTTGTTGCAAGTGGTTTCAGCTTTGAGCGGACAACCTCTTAACCACAACCTGCAAGTTCAATTCTTATGGATGTTTTGCAACCATTCTTATTGTCAGGCCAAGAATGTCCTGTGCTTAATCGCTTGCATGCATTCCTTGCCTCCCGGTAAACACTTTCATCTTCGAAAAGGCGCCCCAGTCCCTTTCATGTCTGCTGAGTCTACTAAACCACATGACCTTTTTGGCGTAAAAAATGCCCTTGCTCAGCGTGTTTTTTTCTGCCGTGCGCTCTGTGAGCCATGGCTTGACTGGAGGAGGGGTAGGTTTGAAATGAATTTAATGTTTTAAACCTTTTATTACTCTTCATCCCTCTATAATTTCTTATGAGTCCATGTAGGGCCCCTAAACCCTAAAACCCTAAACCCTAAAACCCTAAACCCTAAAACCCTAAACCCTAAAACCCTAAAACCCTAAAACCCTAAAACCCTAACCCTAAACCCTAAACCCTAAACTCTAAGCCCTAAGCCCTAAGCCCTCAGCCCTAAACTACAAACCCTAAACCTACCCGGTTGAGGTGGTCTTGGTTGCCGTCCGCTTCCTGTTCTTCAGCGTGGTGGCTTTCCTTCTCATCCTCAACCCTCCGCCAGAGGTCACTGCCAGGCGCGGGGGGGGGGGGGGGGGGGGGGGGGGTGTTTCGGGTTCCCGAAGCCCTAAGCCCTTAACCCCTAAACCCCCAAACCCCCAAACCCCTAAGCCCCGAAACCCCTAAACCCTAAACCCTAAACCCTAAACCCTAAACCCTAAACCCTGGTTTGGAATCTTGTGGTTGACAACACCTTGCACTGCAGAAAACCAGCTTCTTCAAAATGCGTGCTTTTTCAGATACGCTTCCTTTCTTGGATAAGCTTCTGGGTACTTTAGGGTTTTGGGTTTGGGGGTTTAGGGTAAGGTTTAAGGGTTTAGGGCCTATACTCGGAGGTTCCTGGGTAGTTAGAAGCAGGGTTACTGAGTATGGTAGCTACTCCTATAACCCTCCTCAGGGCCTTCAGAGTACTTGCAAAGCCCTGCTGCTCCCTACCACGAAGCTCCAAGTAGCCGGCGAGCAGACTCAATCAACGGATTAAGACTCGTGAGGTTGTACCCCTAAAGTTTTCCCGTTTCCACACTCCTAATATGGCCCTTCTCCTGCCTTAGGGATCTTTAAAAAGGGTCCCCAAACCCAAGATTGCCACTTTAGGGGTCCAAGGTAGGGTCCGAGGTTGCGCTTGGAGGTTGATCGGGTAGAGGGTTTAGGGTTTAGGGTTTAGGGTTTGGGGTTTAGGGTTTAGGATTTAGGGCTAGAAGTACCTAGTTCTAACCTCTTAAATGAACCTCCAAGTTGGGTCTAGGAGACCTCAGCTTCAGGGATTTGGTGGATCTTGTTGGGCTGCTTCCCTAAACCCTAAACCCTAAACCCTAAACCCTAAACCCTAAACCCTAAACCCTAAACCCCAAACCCCAAACCCCAAACCCCAAACCCCAAACCCTAAACCCTAAACCCCTCCCCGGCAGGTTGGCGTACTTCCTCTTGTTTGTCATGCTGTTCGCATGCGCCTACTTCGTGGTGCACACGCTGGCCCAGCTGCTGCGTGACTCGCCTTCAAAGGGTCTAGGGTTTAGGGTTTAGGGTTCAGGGTTTAGGTAGGCCAATCAACGCCCGAACTCCAATGCTCTCTAGTGGACCCAACTCCGAGCCTCTTACGATTGGGTGGGTTCTCCCCCTCCTCCATAAGAATGAAGAAAGGGACTGCTGGAGACCCTAAACCCCAAACCCCAAACCCCAAACCCCAAACCCCAATCCCCAAACCCCAAACCCCAAACCCTAAACCCTAAACCCTAAACCCCAAACCCTAAACCCTAAACCCCAAACCCTAAACCCCGGAGAGAGAAGAGAGAGGAGAGGCTTCCTATGCCCTGAGCCCTACTCAGCCCTGAGCCCTAAACCTCCTGAACCCCTAGACCCCTAAACCCCCTACACCCTAAACCCCCCACACCCTAAACCCTAAACCCTAAACCCTAAACCCTAAACCCTAAACCCGAAACCCTAAACCCTAAACCCTAAACCCTAAACCCTAAACCCAAAACCCTAAACCCTAAACCCTGAACCCCGGAGAGAGAGAGAGAGAGAGACGCTCCCAAGGCAGCGCGTCAGTGAGTACGGAGGAGACCGGCACGGGCCTTGCCAAGTTGGCAGGCCGCTGGGAGGGCTCCATGTTGTTGTGACATTCGGCCCTAGACCCTAAGCCCTAAACCCTAGACCTTATAGAACACAGAATAAACCCAAAACCCTAGACCTTTAACTAAACCCCAAGCACTAAACCCTAAACCCTAAACCCTAAAACCTATACAGGACCCACATAGGTACAAAGTTTAGGGTGGACCCAGTAAATTACCATACTTAATTTGTACTTACCAAGTCCCCCCGACCCGCCAGGTAGGGTATTGGCGTGCGCGGTGTTGGGTTGCACCAAAATACCCTCACATCATTGAACCGCTTGTGCCCGAAGCCTCAATAGGCCCCTGCCGACTTCGTATAGCGAAGATGCAGGAGCTTAGAGACTTCACCGGACCCTCTTGGTAGGGCATGTGTAGCTATATGTAGGGTTATAGGTACCCTGAATAGGGTCAGAAGTACACCTACCATACTTGTAACACCACTTACAACTACCCAAATCAACCTCCAAGTAAACCTCCTAAACCCTAGACCCTAGACCCTAGACCCTAGACCCTAAACCCGAAACCCTCAACCCTAAACCCTAAACCCTAAACCCCTAAACCCCTAAACCCCTAAACCCCTAAACCCTAAACCTTAAACCCCAAACCCCAAACCCTAAACCCTAAACCCTATGCATGGAATGTGGCGCCAATCAAAAGGGCCACGATACCAAGGTTGACAGGAGGGTGGTGGAGAACTCCAGTTCTCGCCACGAGGTCCTTGCAGCTGCATGCTGACATGCGGGCAAAGAGCAGGCTTTACTAGGGTTTAGGGTTTAGGGTTTAGGGAAATTCGCAGGGTTGCCGAAGCGCACTCGAGAACAAGAGGGTCGCTTTCGCTCGAGGCTGCAGTGCTCAGAGATGCAAAGGATCGCCTCACAAGAGCATCGACGCTCCATCACAGAAGCATTGCTGACCGCTTTGACCGGGACTCCCAATATGCCTGGCGGATGGCACAGGCCGGGCTCACTTCGGGCGATCTGCTGCGTTTCGATTGCATCTCGAAGGCGTACCACTAGACTCTAGACCCTAGACCCTAGACCCTAGACCCTAGACCCTAGACCCTAGACCCTAGACCCTAGACCCTAGACCCTAGACCCTAGACCCTAGACCCTAGACCCTAGACCCTAGACCCTAGACCCTAGACCCTAGACCCTAGACCCTAGACCCTAGACCCTAGACCCTAGACCCTAGACCCTAGACCCTAGACCCTAAACCCTAAACCCTAAACCCTAAACCCTAAACCCTAAACCCTAAACCCTAAACCCTAAACCCTAAACCCTAAACCCTAAACCCTAGCCACACAGTCGAAAGCCGACTCAGGTTCCGTGCAGCGCCTCCTGGTCCAGATGGCGCTCCCTTTGTTCCAGGATCATCTTCTAGGGACTGGGTTTAGGGTTTAGGGTTTAGGGTTTAGGGTTTAGGGTTTAGGTTTAGGGTTTAGGGTTTGCAGTTAGGGTTGAGGGTCCCTTTGTTCCGGGACCGTTTTGTGGGGCACTGTCGAAGCTCCGGGGCTTTTAGACGGCTCAGATCTTGGGGTTTACTGGGTTTCGGGGTTCTGGTAGGACGGTTGATGGGTTGCGGGGACGTGGCTTCGGTGCCGGCGGGCTTAACTCAGCCAGGAGGCGGAGAGTGAGAAGCTCCAGCTGACCTGGTCCTTCGAGACCGATGAGATCAAGGCTGCCCGAAAGAAGGTTTACTCAGCAAAGGGCTCTCGCAGGAACTCCTCCGATTTAATTCGTGCCGAGGTAGTTATAACAAGGGCTGTTATAAGTATAGTTTTTTATACGCTTATAACTACCCACATCAACCTCCAGGTAGGTTGTTAAAAGAACCATAGGGTCCTTAAGGGAGGGGCGCATGGTTCCCTAACACTCTCCACTACTCGCTAAGGCTCCCTAAGCTTCCCTAAGGTTCCCTATCTAGGTACCTACCCCTCCCATGAAGCCTCAACCCTAAACCCTCAACCCTCAACCCTAAACCCTAAACCCTAAACCCTAAACCCTCAACCCTAAACCCTTAAGGGCCCGAAAAAGGAAAGTGCGTTTCGGGTTCGGGGGGCGTGGTGCATCCCGAACTTGCGAAGCCACAAGCCCAAACCCCCTGACATTCTGGAGCCTGCGCCCTCAACCTCCCAAACCCTAAACCCTAAACCCTAAACCCTAACCCCTAAGCCCTAAACCCTAAACCCTAAACCCTAAACCCTAAACCCTAGACCCTGAACCCTGAACCCTGAACCCTGAACCCTAAACCCTAAACCCTTGTATCCCGAGCCTCTCGTCCCACAACACGAAGCCCAGGCGGCAGGCAAACGGCCGGCCAAAGGCCTGGGCTGCTTAGGGTTTAGGGTTTAGGGTTTAGGGTTTAGGGTTTAGGGTTTAGGGTTTAGGGTTTAGGGTTTAGGGTTTCGGGCTTAGGGTTTAGGGGGGTTTGGGGTTAAGGGTTTAGGGTTTATCGAGGGACGAAGGGGCGACTTAGGTATATGGGGACTATAGAAGGAAGATGTAGGGGTTATATAGTGGAATACGATTAAGGGTCCCTTATAAATATCCCTGAAGTTAATCCTAAACCCCAAACCCTAAACCCCAAACCCTAAACCCTAAGCCCTAGGCGTTTTGGGAGTCGGTTCCAGGGTGCAGCCTCCAGAAGGTGTCAAATTGCTCTTGTCCGGGAAGTCCAGGAGCCCAAAATCTTCAACCCCAACAGCTGTTTAGGGTTTAGGGTTTAGGGTTTAGGGTTTAGGGGCCTTTGCATTCTCAAGCTTGGGTAGTTCGGGCGTGCGCCAAGCGATCTCCCTAGAAGTCCCGTAGCTCCAAACCCAAGCCCCCTGAAAACCCTAAACCCTAAACCCGAAACCCTAAACCCCAGAACCCTAAACCCTAAACCCTAGAGCCCTAAACCCTAAACCCTAATCCCGTAGCTCCAAGCCCAGGCCCAAGCCCAAGCCTCAAATCTCAGCCTTCAAACACACCAGGATGCGCACCCTAAACGCCACTTAGAGGTTCATGGTACTTACTAACCAATTATAACTGTACTTATAACCCTACTTATAATACCCCTAAAGGGCCTTATAGGGGTTATCCCAATTATAAGTAGGGTTATAAGCCCAGTTATAAGTGGTTAGTAAGTACCATGGACCATGAACCTCCAAGCAGAAGATGGCTGCCCAAGATGCCGAGACACTTCAAACAAGGGATCTTATATGAAGGAGTTCTGGGAGAACCCTAAACCCTAAACCCTAAACCCTAAACCCTAAACCCTAAACTCCAAACCCTCAAAGGCCCGAAAAGCCCTAGAGGGGGGTCTTGTCGTGGTGCGCCAGGAGGTGCCATCGCGTTGAGGGCCCTGCGCTGGGTGAAGGGCAAGGTCCTCCGCCTGGGCCCCTCGTACCAGCATGCCGTGCACCTCAAGGCTCTGAGGGGTTTGGGGTTTAGGGTTTAGGATTTAGGATTTAGGGCTTAGGGTTTAGGGTTTAGTGTTTAGGATTTAGGGTTTAGGGTTAGGGTAGGTATATGGGCCTTTAATATGGTCCCTAACCTCCTCTACAGGGTTCTGATGTACGGGCCCTTCCTTTGGATAGGGTATCTAGGGGGTATGCAAGGGGTACCCTTTTAAGGGCCCATACTAAGGGACCATGTAATTGGCTTTAGACTCAAGGACACCCCCGGCCTCTTGCATGTTGTGCCAGGGTTCACCCTCTGCATGCTGAGGGGTGTTGGGTTATGCATACCTATATATGCATACATATGTATAACCACCTCCCCACGATCTACCGCAGATGTCGCTGCTGCAGATTTTGGGAACCTTGCAGAAGTTTGGGAACACCCTAATCAAACTACCCTAAACCCTAAACCCTAAACCCTAAACCCTAAACCCTAAACCCTAAACCCTAAACCCTAAACCCTAAACCCTAAACCCTAAACCCTAAACCCTAAACCCTAAACCCTAAACCAGCTTAGTTTCAGCAGTTTCCAGTGCGCTATTGAGGACATGCCTAGACCTTTCCGCAACTGGCGATCTCGGTGCAAGTCCCAGGGACCCCCCCCCCCCACACTCCAACTTAAGGAATATTCCTTAAACCCTAAACCGGGGTTTCAGGTTTTGCCTTCCCTGCCGCAAAGAAACAAGACCACTTGCCCAACCCCATATACTCCGTGATATTAGCCATTCTACCTAGTGCGTGCCCTCTATTAACCCCGGCCCCCCCCAGGCCTGATTTGCCTTCTCTCATCTCCCCTCTATCGTCGCATACTATCGGTTACTATCGTACAACAAAAGGACAAATACTAGATGGGAGACGATAATTTAATATCTTGTACCCTCCAAACCTCATCCTGCTCTGAAACCTGAGACCCCAAGTATATGAAACCCATCCATATCCTGGGTTTAGAACTGAGCCTGTTCGCCAAAAAAGGGGTTTACAGGGCGTCCTTTATTAGGGGACCCCCCTGTGAACACTTTTCGCGGCGAAAAGTGTTCACAAGAGGTCCCTTAACAGCGGGCCAGTCCCCAGTGAACGTTTGGTTCGTCAAAACAATCTGGACCGGTCCCCCGACAGGGGATCCGCTGTGAACACTTTTCGACGTGAAAAGTGCTCACAGGGGGTCCCCTATTGGGAGAACCCCTGTGAACACTTTTTGTCAGGGGACCTCCTGAACATATTTCGCCGCGAAAACTTTTCACAGGGGGTCCCCTATTGGAGGGCGTCCCCTTTCACTGTTTGTCGCGAAAAACAAAAAAAGGAAGGGTCGGGACCCCCTGTGAACACTATTCGGGCTTAATGGCCAACGAGGGTTGGGATGCATCGGAGTTCAATGACCCCAGGTTTATTAGGTTTAAGGGTTTGAGGTTTAAAAATATTGCAAAGCTTTAAGCTTCGCAGCTTCACGATGTCAGGGCACTAAGGACCGATTTATTCTGTGTCTGTACGCTGTAATGAGGGGTTGGTCTTGTTGTTGGGCTAAACCTGGAACGCCGTAAACCCTAAACCCTAAATCCCTAAACCCTAAACCCTAAACCCCTAAACCCTAAACCCCTAAACCCTAAACCCCTAAACCCTAATAAGGAGCCCGATTATATGTAAGGAATATTCCTGAATGACGGGGTATTGGAGTCCCCAGAGGGTGACGCAGCAAATTTATGAAAGTGAGCCGGGCTGGCCCATGGACTGCCTATCACTAGTAATTGCTCAAGAACCCCCCCCAAAAAGTAAAACATATTTTCCTTAAAAGGGCAATATAGGAATTATTATGTTTTATTCTTTTAGGCTTCCTAAGCAAATTGCAGATCACGAAATTTGTTTGCGGCCTCGCTCTGTAATGATATTCACCGGCCGGGCTTAGCTTCCTGGAATCTCCGGGCTCTGGCTCTTTATCAGGGTCTCAAGCCTTGCTGCCTAAATCCTTTAACAAAAACCACCAACCTTGTAAAAACAACCATCAAAAAACTTGTGATAATAGCGGGTGACCCCGACAAGCTGAGTTTGCAGACGAAACTTGTGATGATAGACCATGTAAGCACTAGAGCCAGTGTAGCATTATGCGTAAATCAGGTTTTTTAATATCAGTTTGGTGGTTTCTTTCTGGTGGGGTTTTGAGGGTTGCGGGTTTGGGGTTTAGGGTTTAAGTTTAGGTTTCCAGGGTTTAGAGGAGATTCTCCTAAGCGGGGTGGGCTCAAGGTTCATTCGTGATTCGTGGTTCGCGGTTTGATTTATTGAGCGCACGTACTTTCACCAATGGCTCCCTGAAGCCCCTGAAACCCTGAAACCCTGAAACCCGCGCCCTAGACCCTGGGGTTGAGGGTTTAGGGTTTAGGGTTTAGAGTTTAGGGTTTAGAGTTTAGGGTTTAGGGTTGAGGGTAACCCGAAGCCCTAAACTGCAGAATCGTTGTTTTTGAGGCGCACGAGGAGTTCGCAAATTTGTGGCTACGACAGCTCCGGCAACCTGGACTCCCGTGCCAAGGAGCGGAGGGTCTAACACGTTAGGGTTTAGGGTTTGGGGGTCTCAGGATCCTCCTGTTCGGGCTTAAGTGTATTCAGGGTTTAGGGTTTAGGGTCTTATTTTGGGTTTAGGGTTTAGGGTTCAGAGAGCATTTGTTGGAGTAGTAGTTGTTCAAGCCCCCCATGGTAGGCCTACCTAACGCCGAAAACACCTCCCCCCCCCTCCCCTCAAGCAACAAGAAGGAAACAATCTGCGCCCATCAACGCAAAATCACCCTAAACCCTAAAGCCTATACAGTAAACAAACTAAACAAACTAAACAAACTAAACAAACTAAACCCTAAACCCTAAACCCTAAACCCTAAACCCTAAACCCTAAACCCTAAACCCTAAACCCTAAACCCTAAACCCTAAACCCTAAACCCTAAACCCTAAACCCTAAACCCTAAACCCTGAACCCTAAACCCTAAACCCTAAGCCCTAAGCCCTAAACCCTAAACCCTAAACCCTAAACCCTAAACCCTAAACCCTAAACCCTAAACCCTAAACCCTAAACCCTAAACCCTACACGCCTTGGGAAGGTCCAGCGGTCTTATGCGTCCTCGCGACGGCGGGCCAGGAGCTCCCGAGCCTCATTGCCAGAAGCCAGATCTGCAAATCGTGGATGCAACAGGCGTGGGTCCTGCGCGCCCTAAACCCTAAACCCTAAACCCTAAACCCTAAACCCTAAACCCTAAACCCTAAACCCTAAACCCTAAACCCTAAACCCTAAACCCTAAACCCTAAACCCTAAACCCTAAACCCTAAACCCTAAACCCCAAACCCTAAACCCTAGACCGCCCGAGATTGTTTGGCATCGCGGGGCTGCTTCGGATTTCGGCTTGAGGGTTTAGGGTTTGGGGTTTAGGGTTTAGGGTCTGGGGTTTGGGGTTTAGGGGCGTTGAGCGTATGGCGTATGACTTTGGGGTTTTGGGTTTGACGACTTGCCCAACAGATGTTCGGCGCATTTAATGGTTAGGCAGAGCTACAATGCTTGTAGCGGACTTATCACTACCCCATGAACCTCCAAGTTAACCACATAAACCCTAAACCCTAAACCCTAAACCGTAAACCGACGAAAGAGCCCCGACTGGAAGGTGGATGCTTTGACTCAGAGGTCAGGGCCCTTCACGTGCTACCCAGAGGCCTCCGCAGTTGCCAAAAACTCGCGGATGCGGGGTTTTGGGTTGAGGGTTTGGGGTTTAGGGGTTTGGGGGTTTAGGGGTTTAGGGTTTAGGGTTTAGGGTTCAGGGTTTAGGGTTTAGGGTTTAGGGTTTGGGTTGAGGGTTTAGGGTTTAGGGTTGATGTGGGGTGAGAAGCTCGAGATATCTTGGATACAGGAGTGCTGGAGGCGGAGGCAGGCGCTAGGGGCAGCACCCCCGGGCCGCAACCCGAAGGCAGCAACGTGCTATGTCTTCTTAGCAGCCGAAATTGCTGACCGCCCTACATCAAAAGCCGGACGCCTCGATCCGAACTCAACTTGGGTTGCCTTTTCCGGGATGCCCCGTGGTGCAACCGGGTGGCTGCCCGTAAACGAATCCGGTGACCCTAAGCCTTAAACCACTAAACCCTAAACCCTAAACCCTAAACCCTAAACCCTAAACCCTAAACCCTAAACCCCAAACCCTAAACAACGGCACTCCCTGCAGCCGCTCCGGTGCGACAAGCAAAATGCTTCAAAGGCGCCTGACACCAACCCTGACCCCCCTCCCCAACCCCAAAATGCCAGAAGGTGGAGGCCATCCCGCATTGGTTGAAGGTGTAGGGTTTAGCCCTGACATAGACCCCCAAGTAGTAAGATTCCCTTATACTAAGGACCCAAGAAGGCACCCCTAATATGGGAAACCCCCAAATGAAGCTCCAAACCCGAAACCCAAAACCCAAAACCCAAAACCCAAAACCCAAAACCCAAAACCCGAAACCCGAAGCCCAAAACCCAAAACTCGAAACCCCTAAACCCTCAATCCTAAACCCTAAACCCTAGGGGGTTACCATGACCTACGGCGGGTTTGACTACAGGACTTGGCGCGATCCACACGCCGACTGGGCCAGATGCCTTCTCGCGAAGCTTGGCTCAGCCCTAAGCCCCCGAACCACTCTAACCCCATCAGCCCCCACAAGCCCCCAAAAGCCCCCAAAAGCCCGCAAAAATGCCCCCCTCAAAGCCGCAAACCCACGTCTACATGGGAGCGTATCTGTTGAGAGCTTACACAAACCCCAAACCCAAAACCCAAAACCCTAAACCCTACACCTACCCCCAGCAGAGATAGTGAAGGCTTACTTACCTCAATCCTAAACCTACCGCAGGGTAGTGGAAGCTTCTAGCCCTAAACCCTAAACCCTAAACCCTAAACCCTAAACCCTAAACCCTAAACCCTAAACCCTAAACCCTAAACCCTAAACCCTAAACCCTAAACCTTAAACCCTAAACCCTAAACCCTAAACATCCCTAAACCTTAAACCCTACACCCTGAACCCTAAACCCTAAACTGCCGGCCTTAAAACACTCGACCCTATGAGCTGAGGATGCGGTGAGGCTGGTCTGCCACGTCGTCGACCTGAGCCTGGACCGCCTTTGGACAAAGCGTTCTTCCGAAGCCCTAAACCCCAAACCCTCAACCCCAAACCCCACACTCCAAACCCCAAACCCCAAACCCCAAACCCCAAACCCTAAACCCTAAACCCCGAAAGCCTAAACCCTAAACCCGAAACCCCTAAAACCACCCCCTCTCCCTGTGGGTTGCTTGCGCTTCAGGGTAATCCGGGCGAACCCACTGAACCCTAAGCCCTCAGCCAACTGAATCGAGAAGGTGCTCACGGCCTCATCCACAGCAGGAGTCGGAGATGCTTGAATTCTAGGCCCGCGCCTTGGGTTTCGGGTCCAAGCTAGGGGGGTTCAAGGGGGCCTACAGGGGGTTGAAATCAGCACCCTCAAATTTCGGGTTTAGGGTTCAGGGTTGTTAAGGTTCGATACCCGTACCCAGATGCCAGAAACCCAAAAAGCGGGCAAGGCTGGTTCGCTCAATAGGGTTTAGGGTTTAGGGTTTAGGGTTCAGGGTTTGGGGTTTAGGGTTTAGGGTTTAGGGGTGCACAAGCCCACTCCTCTAGACCTGCAAGCCCTCAATCCCCCCCTCAACCCCCCTCCACTGGATTAAAGGTTCAAAAAATATGAAGCATCAGCATAAGCTATAGCGCTCCCAAGCTGAAGTACTTGGAGGTTCAGGGTTCTTACTAGCCACTTATAACTGTACTTCTAACCCTACTTGTAATGCCCCTAAAGGGCCCTATAGGGGTTATCCCAAGCATAAGTAGGGTTACTAGCCCAGTTATAAGTGGTTATTAAGTCCCATGAACCTCCAAGTAGGGGTTCAGGGTTCAGGATTTTGGGTTTCGCATTTCGGGTCTCGGGCTGTGGCCGGAAGGTCTTCCACAACTGGGGGAGCGCTCGGCTCTGTCTTCTTGTGGAGGCTCATTTAGGGTGAGAGTTTAGGGTTTAGGGTTTAGGGTTTAGGGTTTAGGGTTTAGGGTTTAGGGCTTGGTTGGAGGTTCGTGGGGTAGCTATGAGTCGGGCTATGCGTAGGTATCTTACATTGCTGCGCTCAAGACATAGACCGCCCGGGCGCCCCTGAGCCCCCCCCTACTCCCCAGAGCCCCCCCCATCGCTCCCTGGGAATCCCTTGCTTTGTGAAGGAAGCCCTGGACGGAGGAAGTATTTTGGAAGCAGGCAATTGAGTTGAGTCTAGGCCTAAATCTAAGAGGAGCAGGTTAGGGTGATTTTGCCGCCTGTTTAAGGTTTGAGGTTGAGGGTTTAGGGTTAGAGGTCATTAAAGGCTCCTCTTCTCTGGGTTGAAGAAAGCCCCAACAAGGACCGGAAGCCCTGAACAACCCCTATGACTGTGACGGAGGCTGCCCCAAGCCGAGCCCGATGCAGATGAAATCGGACAGCTGACTGGAGTCGAGCCATGTCCCTGAACACCACTTGAGAGCGCCGCAGAACTTCTATCTGCTGGAGAACCCCTGGAAAATGATACTGGTATGTTGCCCTCATGACGAATATTCTTTGTGGTATGTCTTTCTTGTTGAGGGGGGTTCTTAAGCGAATAGTAGAGAAGAGGCATTGAGGCTCACTCAACCCTCGGACCCTGAAACCGAACCACCCAACCCTAATTAGACCCCTAAGCAAGAGACCCTTAAACCCTTAAACCCTTAAACCCTTAAACCCTTAAACCCTTAAACCCTTAAACCCTTAAACCCTTAAACCCTTAAACCCTTAAACCCTTAAACCCTAAACCCTAAACCCTAAACCCTAAACCCTAAACCCTAAACCCTAAACCCTGAACCCTGACCCCTAAACCCTAAGCCCTTGGACGGAACAAGCTCTAGACCTCCAGCGCCAAGACCCTGGACCCGCAAGCACGAAACCCCTCTCTAAGCCCCGGAAGCCACACCCAGAACCCTCTTCGAGCTTCCCCAGAAGCTCTATATGGAGTGGCTTAGGTTTTAGGGTTTAGGGTTTGGGGTTTAGGGTTTAGGGAATCGGAAACCAAAGAGAGAGCGGCTTGAGCGCACCCTATGCATTGGCCTGCAATTACTCTCTGTGCCCAAGTGGCCTGATGCCGAACGTCCCAATCTGATACTTTGAAGTGAAGGTGAAGCGGCTCTTGGGTTTGTGAGAGGTGCGCGTTTGGGTTTAAGGGTCTAGAGTCAGGGATAAACCCTAAACCCTGAACCCAAAACCCAAAACCCAAAACCCAAAACCCTAAACCCTAAACCCTAAACCCGTTCGGTGCCGTGAGAGCGGCCTCGCCTTCCTTTTTGGAACCACGAAGCTCCCGGCTTAGAATTGCCGAAGAATCGTCATGCCGGAAACGGAGCAAGTTCAATGGGGTTTAGTTGGTGTTTAGCACAAAGAGGTCAAGTCAATTTCATGGGGTGCGAACTTAGCTTGTACAATGATTTCGGGTTTGGGCCTGGGATAGATGCCGACCTCCTCGTGGACGAGCCTGGATAGCATATGGACTTCGTGTCCGTTCGCAGCCGCGAGCTGCTCAAGAAGGGCCCTTCTTAGTATCGTAGCAGCCAGATTTGTACAGTTTTCGCCCCCGTGGATAGTGTCCCTGTACGTTGTGGATCTGATTAGCCAACTCGCAGCCGGAGGCCAGAGGAGCTAAAAGGATCGAGCGTTGACGAGGGATAGATCCTTCCCTAACCTTTGGGATAGTTGTCTGTCCTCTTTACAACTCATAGCCGGAGGCCGGAGGATACTAAGGGCAGGTGGCTGTTCAGGTGAATATCGGGATAGGTGTACAACACGCAGCCGGACGGCTAGTGGATACATCTAGAGCGATAGGTTACCACCCCCTGGAGATAGCAACTCTGGGGATCCTTCCGATAGTTAACGTCGGGAGTGGCTCGGAACGATTGGCTAGCTACCTTGAGTTCCCCGTTGACAGGGATACTGTTACTTCTGGTGCAACATTACAACCTACAACTGTAAATATACAACTTCTTTCTTCTCGTGTGGCCTGAGCTAGTTACTGGAACGGGTTGCGCAAGTTTTCATTGGTTTGGACACTTCTCACAGGTTAAGAGCCTTGTTAGCTCAAATGCTGAGCTTCGTTATGTGGAGATGATGTTTGAGTCGCGGCTTATGGCCATCACGGATGAGACAAGCAGGTTGAAAGGCATGGACGGGCGGGCGATGGCAAATGACAAAGTTTTCACCTTGCTTGCTCATGTACCGCAGGAAGTTGACAGACTGGGACAGATACTGGATGGTTGGACAGATGGTTTGCTTGAGGCTGCCAATGATCTGGAAAGCAGGCTTTTGCTTTGGTTATCTCCCGACCGAGAGCTACGCAATTTCTATATCGGGTCCTCTGATGACGAGATTGGGGATGCGGGGGGCGAAAGTTCTAGGCATGATGCGGTTTCTGCGTTTCCGTTTGACTTCGACTACGAGGACCTCGTGTGCCTGACGGATGATTTCGTGACAAGTGGCGACCGGGTTATCCGACAGGGCACCCTTGGCAGGGTTCGTGCTGTCTACCGCTATGACGAGATGCCGATGATCGAAGTCCAATTTCCCGGAGAGTTCATATGTCACTTCGTGTCTGACCATGACTTGCGCCTTGTTGAAAAAGCCGAGGCACTGGATGATGTGCGTTTCATGTCAGACACCAATGACTAAGCCATAGAGGTGCGTCAGAGATCGTCGCTCCTGTGGTCAACCCACATCCGCGAAGCGGGGGGTGTTGAGCGCACCATTTACTTGAAGAGCACGGAATGTGTGCGTGTTGTGTGAATGCATTTCGGGTTGCCATACAGGGCCCGAGGTTCCTATAGGAGCAAGGGGCCGAAGAGCCAAAATCCGGCATGGCAGCAATGAAGCGTCCGTGGCAACAAACGATGGTCCAGGACATGAGCCGCTGGCAGTATAGGAAGTACATGCGAGCCCTCCGACGTACCTCTGAACAGTCTCATGCAGTCAACTGGGATGCGGTTAGTGATCCTGATGGGGGCCTTGACCTCTCACAGTTGGGATGTGCCCCCTTCTCAAACAAAAAGTCCTTACTAGGGATTATGGTACCCTCTAGTATATTCCCTGTGAAGGACGGTTAGTATAAGGGGGGAACATCGCAAGGGATTAGGGTTGAGGGTTGAAGGATTTCATGCTCCGGGAGGCTTTTTAAGAACCACTCTGCTTGCAGCATTTTCTGTCTTGCCTGCTGCTAGCTCAACCCATATAGCCATGGAGCCGAATCGGGACGATTGTGGGTTGGGGGTTGAGTCCTCGCGGTTTGGGGTGGCTGCTTTGGTGCAGGATCGAGGATGTCGTCAAATTGGAGCCTTTGTCAGAGCTGGGGGCAGGCAAGCTTCTTAGTGTTCTCGTGCGTGAAGCACATCCAGGGCACAAGCCCTGGTCCTAGGGCCCTAGGGAAGCTTTTGGCATCGGTAGGATGCCTCCCTCATGGCATTCAACGTTGCTTGGTAGACCTAAGTCTCTCGGCAGGCCCGGGAGCAAACGCAACGCAACGCCAGCAAAGTCTGAAAAGGTGAAGTGCAGAGGCTGCCATTGCCTTTGCCCTCGACCATCCTCCTACATGTCCCAGATCTTTGGTGTGGACATGTTCTTTACAGGGTTCTTAAGGGACGGGGGGGGGGGGGGTCATTGGGGGTAGCTGCCTAGAAAAACCTTAGGGAAGCTTAGGGAGCCTAAGGGAGTAGTGTGGAGTATCTTGAACCCCCCTCCCTTACGAACCCTGAAGTTCTGAAATGCTGACCATTCTCTCCAAGACAGGCGCTTGCGAAGATGCCAAGACCCTTACTTGGAGGTTCAAGGGACTTAATGACCACTTACAACGGGGCTTATAACCCCTGCTTCTACTTGGGATAACCCCTATTAAGGGTATCATAAGTAGGGTTATAAGCCCAGTTATAAGTGGTTATTAAGTCCCATGAACCTCCAAGCTATGCAACCTGCCGGGCTAGTCCGGAAATCGCAACCCGTTTGCCAAAATGGCAGCTCCGCCAGGGACTCCAGTGCCCCTTAGTTCAGGATTCCATAACATACTTGGAGGTTCATGGGACTTAGTAAGGCCCTTTAGGGGTATTGTATAGGAACAGTCCTTCATGAAGGAGTATTGGAGTCCCTGGGTTCGTCAGCGAGCCTACATGAACTGCCCCCCTGGCAATGGGGGGTTTTCATGGGTTTCCCCATGCTTTCGGATTTCCGTGGAGCGGAAATCCCCCTGCGCCACCTCGCCAAGCCACGGCCCTTACCCTGCAAACCCTGCCAAGACTCTGACAACTTGGCAACGACCTCTGCCAAAGAGCAGTCCGAAGATTTTCAGGGTTTC